ATGCTTGCTCGGACGAGAGTTTGTTCGAAGCACCCGTTAAAAATAATACAAAATTCGACAGACAGGCAAACCAGTTTTAAGGTGTCGACGAAACAGATTTTCCGCTGAACAAGGATGGTTCAACGACCGGATCTTACACATCCTTTTTGCAAATAATTGTAATGTGTCTTCGAAAGTTCGGCTTCAAGTTCTGAACGCTTTGTAACTTCAAAAATGCTCGCTGAGAATTATATTTGCTCCGAAATAGGACACGATACACATTTTTCCAAAAATGATGAATTATTTAAATTTTTTATTGCAGACAATATTTTTTAAGGACTATATTTCAGTCAACGTTTCTGCACAATTTCGTTGACCAGTACATTGTTGTTCCTCATCCAGACTTCAGAAAATTCTGTGTTTCTCAAGTTGTAATCGTGTCCAGAGTGTCTACAGCAGGCAGTTCTGCTGTCAAATTGATTGTTATACAATGGAACGAAGAAAAGAAAAGGAGAATGTGGAGGACCAGCATTGATGGAAAGAACAAACATATTTGGAGCGACCGAAAATATGAAAATACAGTCGTTGCGTGCCTACGATACCATACCTAAACTAAGACCACCCTAATTCTAATCCTAACCTTGCTTAACCTAAGCCGACCCTAATCTTACCTAACCTGCCCATAACTCTAACACATAAACCTTTAGTTTTAATGGTTTTTCTTGTTAAACAGAGTAATCTCTAATCTAAAATTCGAGGACAAACAGTAATGGTTATGACGTCCCAACATGTCCAATGTAGTTTCCCATTTACAGGTACTTTTTGTTTTGCAACTCCTTTCAATTGTTTGTTTTGCTGCTAATTTAAGAAGAAGAAGAAGAAAAATAACTTTATTCTGAGACTAGTATCCCCTAAGAATAATTTACATGAAATAAATAAAGGAAGTTCCTTCTATGAAGTTAAAAGTAAAAAAAAAAAAGATAGAAATCTTGGCACAATGTATACCAGTAAGGCAGGCCAGAAGAGAAAATTACGAGAATATTAAACAAAAATAACAAATGTTAACGTGAGGTCTCTGCTTTACTTATTTACTTGACAACAAAAAGAAAAAAGTTACTAAAAATTGCAATGAGCTTTTGATTGACTTAAATTTTGAAAGCAGTCGGTTTTAAAAGTTTTACTAGGTCGGCAAAGTGATTTCATAGTAGTACGGACATTTTCAGTCAGTTTTACATTTTTTCTGGGTTTTACATGGAAATCACTAATATCAAGCAAATCCTATAACTATGGTTGACTGAACTCTGTAGGAAAACATGCCATGTTCAATGTTTGTGAATGTTTTCCATTTAAAAAGGACACATATAATTTTGATCTACAACCCCTCTGAAACAGTTTAGTTTGCTGTTAATTTTTTTTCAAATTGAAAGGCAAAGAAATAGCATTAAGGTTTTGACCACTTATGATTTGAAAACTACAGTTTTGGGAATTTTACTAGGTCGCCAAGTGATGCCATTGTACGATGCGCATTTTCGATGGTTTTTTTTTTTTTAGTTTTTTCTTGATTACCTATGGTAATCACTGATCTCAAGCTAATTCGAAGACTGCTGGATGACTGAACCGTGTTAGAAAATGCGCTTTCGACCTACCTAAAATTTGTCAAGGTAACAACTGTGCCATGCATCAGAAAAAAGAAAGCTAAATCTTACAACTCTAAACCTGCGAAACCAAGAAATAAAATATTCCAAAGAAGTTGCAGACAGAACTTTTTGACCAAAAGTTAATTTAGAACGTACGCCTTAAACCCATGACAGGACACTAAAGGTAAAATGGGTATGCCAAAGACTCCGCGGTCAGTATCTGTCTCAGGAACATCTTAAAATGACCTTATGGTACCTTACGATTATCAAACTCACGATGCCATTATGCAATATGGTGGCCAAAACAGAACAAAGAATGGCAGAGGAACTACTACGAAAAGTGCAAAGACTAGCATGCCATGCTTCAGTGGTGCTATTAAAACTTCATCCACAGCCGCAATTTAACGTATACTCAAGCACTCTAATTTATACAGGGTGTCCTTTCTAGATGGTGGTTAATAAATAGCAAACCAAATGACTGTTTTCTAACTTTTTGCCATAACTTTGTCATTTTTTGACCGATTTAACATCCGATTGCACCATTGTTTTCAATAATAAATCCTTTTAAATGATGTGTCAGAATGTATAGGGTCGTATTTGAAATTTTGAAGTTGAACTAGGCTTGAGGTACTTTGTATAATTTTTCTCCAAAAAAGTTAAACATTTTAAACTAGACTGAAATATAGAAACGTATTTTTTTTATTTTTATAGTGTCATTGGTTCAAGAGAAATTCAGCCAGGCCATATAAAAAGGACACCCTGTATACTAGACTTTGAAAATGACCGGAAACGACGATACTACAAACTACATCATGGATCATGGGCATACTTCATCACCCCGTAAACATCATGGATAAATCTCACAACTTCCAATATATTTAACCCTTCTGCGCTGTAAAGTCCGTTCATGTCTTTGTGTCCTATGACCCTGCTTAGTGTATGTAAAGGAAACAGAAAAATGTCTCATCAGTATCTTACACTCAATGTTGGTTGTTATGTGAATCAGATATCTTCGTATAGCGTGTGAGTGTGTAGATAGGACTAAGAACTTGCTGGGCCTTCTATTGCGGGTGTCTTACCCACTACCATCTACACGAATAATTTGTTATCAGCAGACAAGCTGGAAAATAACTCATGCTGCTTTGATTCCTCAAATTGATACTATCCTTGATTTTACTGTCGTCATCAAAGTCTGTCGGCATCAAAATTACCTGTTTCGGAGGTGTTCCTAGGCGCTTCACATTCGCATATTTATTTTACTTCATGGAAAAACACTGAATTGTGGATATGCTACCGATCCGTACCATAGCATAACCAATCCCTAACTAACCAACCTTACCTCACCCGTCCTCAACTTCAACCTCAACCTTCTTATTTAACCTGGCATAACACGAGATGAATTCAAAGTTTTGGAAGAAAACTATCAGGCTTCAAGGAAAAACACTGAATCATGGATATATATAACCGAACACATCCCTAACCCAACACTAACCATACCTTACCCAAGACGTCCCTAACTCTAACCCTACCTAACCTAACCTGTCCCGTCCCTAACTCAAATACAAACCTTTAGTTTTAACCGAACCATAATCCTACCTTTCTTAACCATCCCTAACCTAACCTAACCCAATCGTCAACTTAAAAATTTTTGTATTCAGCTCAAAAATATTATCCATGTTAAAATACTGTATTTACACAATCATCGTGATATTAGGATGTATACTTTCTTACTTGATTTTTACAAAGCAACCCTCTTTTTTATTACCTTTTATAACACTTCTTGCAACATCCCACAAACATGAAATCGCCATGGTATTGATGGAAGATCAAATTATGACTGTAAGTTACGAAACTGCCCCGGCAATTTCACTCTAAAATCTTCGAATTCGAGTTCGCAGCCTGAACGAATTCCCTCTAATAATTTCGACACAATTAAGGAGAACTGTATTTATTTATTTTACATAATTACTAGGTATAAAAACATTAATAGTTGATTTCAATTAATCAATCTTTTGGAGGTCGAAATGAAAAAGCTAGTGTCACGGCAAGCCAGTGTGCCTGTGACAATAACTGTGTAGTAGTTGAATAATTTCAAACGGATCTTGTTGAAGAATGGGATTCTGTTTCACAAGAAGAAATTCCTTCCCCTTTAAGTTAGTCTGTGAATAAACACGTGTTTGAGAAACTTGGTATATTGATATCTATACCAAAATGCTATTTTACATGTGGATTAGAGGGGCAGACTTTTTTGAAGACAGTTTTGTCGATATTTGGACGGTCAGAAAAATTCGGCCTCGTTTGAGCCAAAATCTGTGTGGATTTCAATTGTTTTTTAGACCTTAAAGTCTGCAACTGTCTCGAAGGAATCGCCATCAGCTCAAATTGTGAAAAGAGGTAAATACCTTGTCATCTTTAACATTTAAGTACTTCCATTTTAAGGAAGCAGGAAATTTCTTAAGCAACTAGTTGAATAAAACGATTAGTTTTTACTTTTTTTTAGTTAATCCAAGGTATCAAAGTTAAATTTTTATAAGTTTAAAAAGCGTGCGAATCAAACGTACAATCGACCTTTCCAGTCATGCTATCATTTTCAAATCCGATTGCCCAATTCCTTCCTCATTTCCCGAATATTTTATAAATTTTTATGCCTTCGATACAGAACGCCGAGTTACGTTTACCGGATAGCAATATGTTTATTCAAGAAAGCTCTTGCATGAAATGATCGTTGTCTGTCGGCTGTTATGACTTCCTGCTGAATACGACCGGGTTTACCTCTTTTTATTTTTATTTACCTATTTATCTCTTTACCTCTACATTGATATACGATGTTTACACCCTTATAATCCGTAATTTAAAAGGTTTATGCAGAAGTTTTCTGAGTAAAATTTAAAATATATAGGATTCTATTATATCTCTTTCCTATGTAATATCTAATTTCAAATGCACTTTCCTTCGGCGTTTTAGGTTTGAATAACCATTCGAGATTGGCACTAGGGATTATTTACTTATTAATAATTGCACGAATAAATCAAAATGAAGATGAACTGTCAGAAATCTGAAGAGCTGACGGCCATTTTGCTAAGAAGTAGAAGTAAATTTTGCCAACATTACTCTACAATGACGCACGACGAATTCTTAATAGTAAAAATTTATTTTTCAAATAAACAAATCCTTAAAAATACAATTCTGTAAAATTGTTCATGATGAAAAGAAAGAATTATTCTAAAATAATATTGCAAGTTTACCATTCTCAGAACTTTGTGTATGAATCGGATACAGATTTACTTCCTTGATTGTTATCAATTGGCTTTTTTTACAATAGTATTTGACAGATTGACAAGAACATAGGTTTTCATACGCTCAAAAAATAAAAAATTGAATTACCTGTGTAGACCTGTCGACTTGGAGGTTGCTCAGGTAGAATGAGTCCCTGGGCCAGTGTCCTGTCACGTAGATGGTGTCCAGGGAAGCGGTCCTCCTCATTGAGTTGCTGCTGAAGTCGTTTGTCCGAGTGTTTAACGTTTCGCATTTCCCTGCCGATCAAAATAATATGTTAGAGATTTGACATGTTCAATTGTTTCATGTTACAAAAAAAAAGGTTTTCATAAGCTGTGATTCGCCCTATGGGTATAATAAGACCAATAAAATACCCAAGCTATAAATGTATAATGAGAAAATCCATAATCTAAATTGGCTAATTTTCAATAAACAAACTTAAGACAACTGATGGGCTTATTGACAGGACATTGCCATGGCACAAACTTGTTGACAGCCTCTGCGAGCAAGAAGAATGAATATATACTTTCAATTGATAAACCAGAAGACACAGAATTGTTTATAAACATAGCCTGTTGAAACTCTTTACTACCAATTAGTGCCCTACAGGACATAATCAAAAGATATAATTTAGGAGAGACAGTCTAAAAGCAATGTATTGTTATGTAAGCCCAAATGGCTCCTGTGACGGGTTTTAATCAACTCAAACAAGATAAACACGTATTACAAAATAAATAAATATTGTAATAATTTGTAAGTATGTCCCAATGATTGAAATAATAAAGTCATAAACTTCATTAAAATCAAGTTGAACTGAACGATGACTCAGCTGCATAATCAAAAGAAAACAAATGGTGTATATTATCTCAAAATTTTCAAATCAACTCATTAATTTTAGTGTAAAGGTAAATTTTGTAGAATGGTCTTGTAGTATAGATATTTTTTTTTTTAGTTTTAACACTTAAATGAAAAACACAAGAAGAAACACATCTTCCATTAATACAATATTTAAAAAACAACAATCTCAATTAAGATAAGCAAAGCTTAATGTTTCAAAGATTCTAGAAAAAACGAAAACATTTCAACTTGCACCACTTAGAAGTTTTCTAGAAAATAAACTTTGTTAATTAGTTAAGTTTCTTATAAGCTGACAAAATTGATCTGTGCAATCCTGTATTTGATAGAACAAAGCTTTAATGGTTACATTCAATCTGATAATGCTATATGTTGAAGGTTTAACTGGATTTTGTAAAAAGAGGATAAAAGATTGACTTGGTGTTTTTTGTTTTAAAATGAGATGTTCAATTTAATTGGATTATCTACTGTTCTTATCCATCTTGACTCAAGCCACCTTAGCGCAAGCGTTGCGAAAAGTCAAAAATGACTAACACATGATAATTTTCCAAAATTTTAAATAAATTTCCAACAGAACCCTGTCGCTTGGATACAGCACACTTCTGCCATTTATCGAATAGTCAAAAGCCTATCAGAATGTTAGATGTGTTTGAACACTACATCCAAACAAACAGTTACAAATGCCTATGTTTAAAGAAAATTAATTTCCCTCAATACACTTTATAACTGTCATTAAAGCTGGGGTTGTCAATCTGGATCCTACAACCCACTACGATCATGGGCGATTCAAGCTTTCCACAGGGATTCTCAAGATTTGAACTTGAAGGTGACTACGGAATCATACTGCAAATAATTATGATAAATGCTAAAAAATGTTAACAACTTAGTCATGATGAGGAGAGTATATAGTAGTGTATGTTAAAATTTAGGCCAAAATGAATTAAATTTATTGACATCTTGATCAGGCTTATTTCAGGTTTTATTACACATTGAACAGGGAAACCACCTAAATATTTCAGCCAGTATTTTGAAACCATTTTATTTCCCTTCATCAAAGCTAAAAGGATCTCAACATAAAAATTAATTAAATATTATTTCAATAGACTTTACTATTTTTATTTTTTATTTTTATATTCAAACAGCTATTGTGCTCCTCCAAATATAGGGTTTTATCTAGCGTCAGTCTTTTCATTAACCTACAGCTTTGAGAGTTCCTCATAAATGTTCCTGGATTAACTCTTTTTTCCAAGGAGAATCTTCCCAGCAACATACATTATCTACTGCAGTTTCTTCTTCTTCTTCTTGGGAGAACTTATGTAGGCTTCTGCCAACAAAATATTTTTATGAGTCTAATGAGACAGCAATGTCCGGTTGGAAGGTTGACAATAATCCTAAGTTTTGTCGTTGTTTCATCATGTATGTTGTGAATTTAGGCAAGTCTTTCTTGATGAAGTCTATTTCCTGCTGCCCTGGGATGTTTTTCCACCTTAAACTTGATCAATTAAGATTTTTTTATGGTAATTTTTAATTGTAGATTCTGGCCATACTTATGCAGTTGAGGAACCTTCTATGGCCAGTTTATCATCTTCATACACTTACTGTTTGCCCTGGAATCCAGACAAGAAACAATTTGTCTTGTTCCAGTGTCGGTTATCTTACCTCAGATGAGGTCAGTGCTTTCAGTGCAGCTTGCACAAAGCTCTATTTCCACAGTTTCTACCTGATATATCGCAAATTATCCAAGAGAAATTTAGAATTTTAACCCTTAATCCCATTCAGGTTGTGATTTGATGCAACAAATATGTATTACTGCTGGCTCTCTATAAAAGAAAGTTGTTTAACTTTGATGTGCTATATGTTGTGGTTTGTTATTTTCGACTGTTTCAATCTGCCTATTCTCGCTAGTTTGGCCTTTCAGGCTAGCCATCTTCAGTACAGTTTCAGGGATAAAAGCAGTGAGATGAACTTCGCTATCTTCAAACCCATCACTAAGGATGGTAGAAAAGAGTCTAATTTCTTCCCATTTTTTACTGACTCTAGTGCCATTTTGTTGTTCAGACAAGTATCAAATAGTCAACCTTAACTGTTAGTCCTGTCTCCCATGAACCTATGTACAACTTTTCTTCCCTGTAAATGTGAAGAGGTGCTAGGTTCACAGTCGGTGTAGTGCTCATTGTTACGGTGATCCTTAGCATGGTCTTCCTTTGGTACTAATTTTTCCTATACCTTAAGTGTTTTCCTACTTCACAATCACCCCATAATTTATCACGAACATGATGATTATCAAATAAAGCTAACCATTTTTAGGTTGTGAGATTTTCTACTGTGATCTGTGTGGTGATCCTATAATTTGATAGTTCCCTATCATCTTTGTCTGCCTATCCTCACTGATGTCTGTCAGATGTGTTTTGGCATTTCATATCTTCAGTGTTGAAGACTAAACTTTGTACATTGAACTGCATCTGATGGACGTAATCAGTGAGGATAGGCAGACCAGATGATCAGGAACTATCAAATTACAGCCAATTTTAGATTTAGATCTCAGCTTTTTCCAGATACTTTTGCCCATGTACCCAGGGAGTTTTTTCTTTTTGGCCAAAGACTACTAGGTATTGTGCCTTTTCTGCTTAAGAACAAATAGGTTCAACGCTGCTCTTCTTTTTTGAACCTTCATCCTTTCGTGGTGACGTTGCTTTTTGATGAATTGCTTTATAATAGCAATAACAAGTTTGTTCCCAGGCATAAGTAAATTCCGTTTGAGGTGTATTCCACTGGGAAAGTTCTGAAAGGTAAAAAGCCTGAAAGAAAATGAAAAATCCACCTTCATGCTGTTCTTCTTCAGCTGGATTTTTCTAAGAACCGCTTAAAAGCTGTTTTCAAATCAATGGTAAGCAGTCATCGGCCGCGAATCCCCGGTGAAAGATTGATCGATAGAAGTAAGATGTAATATTTAAATCGGGCAGAACGCAAGAAAAACAACGTCGCATCACTTTTCCGGCTTTTTAACCGAGGACGGTCTTTTTTGCCGATTCGGTATTGATTCGCCTTGGCCGCTATCGTTCCCTGGTTTTATTTCTTTGATCGGCATCCATTTCTTGTGAAATTAAAGAGGATAAGATGCCAATGGAGATTTCAGATTTATGCTTTTTGTTGTTTAATGAGATGGTTTAAAAGTGGAGAGAATGTTTGCAGGCCGTCGGATTTATCCGTTATCGTCCAATGTCAAGGGCGTGTCGGCCGGAAAGGGAAAGAACAACGCAGCAGACGGTAAACAATCAGAAGGAAAATTGTTTTGAAGTCGGAACGTCAAATTATTATTTTTTTATTTTTTTTATCGGGTTACCTTTGTAGTTGATAGACCCGGGGCTTCGGATCCCGGTGGCGTCGGGAGAAGCTCTGGCCTTCCAGGGCGAAGGGTTTGGACTGTCACTCCTCTGCTGCCTCGCTCCGCAGCTCTGCCTGGTCAACGAGGAGACGGGCAGGGTGGCTTTGAGTGGGCCTTGCTTTGAAGAGGGCGAACGGCGGACCCATTGCGCCTGGGAGGACATTTCGATGACCCGGCTGAAGCCTAGGTATCCTGGGGCTTCATTCGCGAGCGAGGCCAGACGGACCCACAAGCCGCATCTTCATCTCGTCTGATGCGAAAGATAGAAAATGGCAAAGACCGAGTCGACTATAGTATAGATGAACCGCGACTGATACTGGAACTGAATGGACGCCCGTCCACGAACAACCACTAGAATGCAGTAGTAAACGGGACCATATGGTGAGGTGTACGACTTTTCCCCTTTCACTACGGCGAAATTTCCCTTCGAGAGGCGCCCACCCCCTCGATTGATTATTTCTTTCATAAACCACCCCAGCTCACCTACGCCCAGAAAAACCACCACTTCCTTTAATAGCCGTCCCACCAGTTTTACATTCTAGTAAGCCTATAAGAAGTTCATGTACAGCAGAAATCTAATACACATACATAGCCCACACCAGTATTTATTTCGGAACTTGTCACCATTGAACAATACATCCAGAAAAACCAAATTTTTCCTTAAAAATTATCCCACCAGTCATCCATTTTATTCTGCTTTCTATCTTTAAATAATTCATTTCCAGAAGAAATCCGATAATTTACAAATGTATATTTAATATTACACTATTTTCCATAATAAAACCAGCTATAATACCCATATATGTTTTTATTTCAGGACCTGCCACCATTGATCTCTCCATACCACCTCTTTCCTTAAAACTCATCCGTTTTCCTTTAAATAGTTCATGTAAAATAGGAATCCAACATACATACATTTGTGTACATAATAATACACTTTTATTCACAATAAAACATAAACTACATAGCCTGTGCCAGTATTTATTTCAGAAACTGTCATCATTGAACTCTACATCCAGAAAAACCATCCCACCATCCATTATATTCTGCTTTCTGCCTTTAAATAATTCATTTCCAGAAGGCATCCGATAATACACAAATGTATATTTAATATCACACTACTATTATCCATAATATATTTGGTGGTATCGGGGATGCAGTCCAATGAATGTTGTGTGTTGAAACTATGCCAAGCTTCCGGTGTTTTATTTCACCTTCCTCAGGGCTAGATTCTCAGTCAATATTTAAACATTTTCTTTTTTCAAAATGTACAAAACTTTTTGTATCTTTTTACCATCTCTTATTTTTTTACTAAACATAATTTTTTTTTTGGGGACCGCGGTAGCCGAGTGGTTAGCATGAGAGACTCTCACGCCGCGGTCGTGGGTTCGATTCCCACCGTCGCCTCTGGCCCTTTTTTCCTGATAACCCCCAATTAGAACACACAAGAATTCGTACCATGGCTAATATGCAAGATCATAAGGCCAATAATAATAATTTAAAAAAAAAAAATAATTATTATTTTTATTTCGTTTTTTCTTTGATTTAGTGCGGTTTTTAATTCCCCCCCCCACACAAAACATGGTGAAAAGCATTTGACAGACCAAAAACAGCGAGGTTAGACCAGTTTGATAAAGAAATTACCAAACTACATTTAGACGTAAATGATTGCAATTGTCTTAGTTGAAATTAATTTGTTTTATTTTTTTGTAAGGAGGATTTGGAAGTGACCAGGTGTATTGACTCATTTACAATAAATATATTTTTAAAATGTATTTGATAGAAATAAAATGATTACATTTTCAATCAATTATCTCTATATAATTTAAAGTACTAAGTCTATACGAAATTTTAACATAAAATATAAATCATACATTATGATTAACTAAAGTACATAATAAATAAAATCATAAATGACTAGAAATTAAAAATAAGTAAAACCTTTTTTTATAAATATTTTGTAAATTTACTTATTGCATTTTATTAATCAGTTTAACTCTCTGAATATGGCCCAAAAATTCGCAATTGATTAATAATTACAATAAAAAGTAAAGATACATATTGCAACTAAAATAAATTGAAAATATTATAATAACAGGAATTTATACTCTTCTTGGAAAATCTTTTAAATATTGGGATGGTACCAATGGGAGCTTAATTATTAAAATTATTAAGCACTAGTTGACATGAATATACATATATTCATATATGTTTTATAAGGTGTTTGTGTTTGAAAAAAACCAAGTGTTTTATAATATTGTTCTTGAAGTTTTAACAAATCTAGAGAGTAAATTAACTAAAGTATTTTAGAATTCAAACAATGCCTCCCAACTGTAGAAGTTTGAAATCATTGTAAAACTGATAAGTGATTATATAATTAATCACAAATAATAAAATCTTATCTAAAAACTTATTTAATTAATTAATTAACAATCTACTTTTTCCCTAAATACACACGACTTGTTAGTGCTAACATTTCATTCAAGAGTTGTAAAAGACTATACATTTTACTCGGGAATGGGTACAAGAAATACAAGCGTTACAAATATAACAAGTTTTAAATATTTGAACAACATAGAAAAAGTGTATTTGTCAAAATATTGTTAACGTTACTTTTGAGAATTTATATTTTCCATTAAATTGTTGGCCTTTTAATGTTTGGATTTATTATGTCCTAGTTATTGTTTATGCGCTAAAAGAACTACTTCACTGCCTCTGAACATAGTAAAACCATAATGATATACAAGCGATGCAGAATTTGATAGAAATAATAATCGTTTTGCAATCAGAAATGAATATGCTAAAAATATACTATATTTATCAGAACTTGTGATGTGTGAAAAATATATTTTAAACATCTGCACTTTATAAACGTTTTTGCGAGAAAATAATTATAATTGTATATGGGAGAAAACTACAAGGCAACAATTCAAAATCTTTAGCACTTTGGTTTGTTGTAGCTTTATTTGTCTACTCTCCTCTTATAATAAGAGATATTTACCAGAGAGTTCTGATCTACACTTAATATTTATAATACATTTTTTATTTGGCTACTAAATTGATAGGAATATTCCAATCAGCTCAAACGTCTGTATGATGTAAGAAATACATACTGCGCTTAGACAATGCGAGCACAGAACAGTGTGTGAAAGACTAGAATTTTCAAAATTTGTAATTAAGTTTGTATAATTGAAATTGTCGATGATGATAAGTAAAAAAAAGATCACCAGTAATATCAGTTCAAAACTAAAGTTACGATGAAAACATAAAATTCATAAGACACTGGAGAAATAAAAAAGTTTAAAAAAAGTTTTCAAGGAACATAATTAAAGTTAACAGGTAAATAAGTACTGTAAAATTTATGGCAGTAGTACAGAATAAAATAAATGGCACCAAATGTTTTTAAAAAAGGCACTGCAGAGCGTATTATTGTCTCCCTTGTAGAAAACTCAGTTAAAAAATTAAATTTCGATATAGCAAAGAGTGTAAAACTAAAATATTCCAAAGCAGAATTCTTTGGTATAGACAACCCAATTCATAATTTACAAGTACCTGTACTTTTTAACACAATCGTGGTCCACAACTACAACTTGGTCAGTAGAAGTAATTGTGAGTCCACTGGGCCGTTTGAATTTCGACAAATGAGAATCAATTGTGGCAAGAATCTTGCCGTCCTTAAGTGACATGACCTGAACGAAGTTTGATGCTTTTTCACATCTAGATCCAACAAGGCGGCCGTCATTATCGACAGTGAGTCCACCATATCTTCCTTTACCTTTAAATCATTTTGGTCAATACTTATGTTTAACATTTATTGTTTTATATATATTCAAAGTAGGTACCTTCGGAATGGAAAACACGAAGAAAATCACCCTTCGCCGAAAAAATCTGCACTCGAGAATCTGCGACGATTATCTGACCATCTGATCCTACACACACTGAGGAGATGGGATTGAAAAAACCATCCTGATTCCCTTTAGCCCCAATCTTAAAATAAAACAACATGCAAAATTTAAAGTTTAAGCGTTATACTTTCTATATACCAATGCAAGTCTAAACATTTTAAAAAACTAACCCGAAATAGGAATTTTCCTTCAATGTCAAAAACGAATACACAACAAGGTCCGTTGTCAGCTATAAGAATATGACCATAATTGTTATCGACGGCTATGTCGATCGGCTCTTGAAAATCAGCGTAGGTAAAACAGCTCAAAGTCTCTCCTTCAGTATTCAACCTGAAAATATAAAATATTTATTCAGATATCATGAGGTGTGGTCGGGTGTAATGTAGTTTCAGAAGAACATTTTCTTTATCGTGCCAACGTTTTGATCTTTTATTGACATCATCTTCAGGGCTCAAAGTGTTTGTCTTCTGTTTAATATAAAATATGTTGAAGTAAATCAAGTCTATAAATAAAATGTACATTTTACCTTGTTACAATACGTGTCCGCCAGTTGATTAAGGCGAGCCATGGTTCCTCTTGTGGTGGGCAATAACAAGCTATTCCGGTGCAAGATCTTCCTTGTAAACAATCATTTTCTATGTGACCTATAAGCTCAAGATCTCTGGACAAAATCTTGATCCTGCAGTTTCCAGTGTCGACAACAAAAATCTAAAATTATGTAATTTTCAGAAATAATCACAAATAAACTATACTAGTCTCATTTATAAGTAGCATATCACTAGTTTTTTGTTAGTGGAGAAATAATGTGGCTTACCTTATCAGATGTTTGGTCATAAGTGATAGAGACAGGTTGTAGAAACTGATCTTTTTCAGATCCTCTTGTCCCATAGATTTTATTTGGGTTGTTATGCTTCGTAGCAGTGACGATCAAGGGGCCCTTTCCGACCTGTCGATCGACCACTGTGACCTTAACTTCGTACATCCCTTCAGCCGGAGGACGGAATTTAATGTGATAAGTACCATTTTCCAGATCTTCGATTTTGACATCGATTGGCGATCCTTGTGAGCCAGTTGGAGAGTTTGTAAGTTGAACTATGGCACTTACAGGATCCCCACCTTCAGTCCTTTGAACGCCTCCGTAGTCGTAAGATACCAGCATGACTGTACTCTCCAGATTCACCACACAATCACCTTAAAAAAAATTAACAAAATTAACAGCACTCAAAAAAACAAAAAACTGATAGATTACCAATAAGAGAAAGGCTTGATAAACTAGGAAATGTAGTAGTTGTCCTGACACTCCCGAGATCCTTGAGTACGTTTGTTAAGTTGTTTAGTGACGATGAACCGATTTCGCAAGTTATAAAACAGTTCTCCCTTGGCTCAGCAAGACATGACACAGACTCGAGCTTTTGTGTTAAGGCCGAAATTCTTTGTGATATATTTCTAACTTCTACTTGATATTGAAGACCATCACATTCAGTCGTAACCTATGAACATTTCAACAAGAAATATTTTAATAAAGTAAAGCAAAACAATTCTTATAATAAAGGAGGGCTTTGATCGATCTATTTTACCTTATCTTTTTCTGCTTGAATTGTTGATAGTTGTGAATTAAGTTCCTTCATTTTTGTTTCCCTGACTTTATTGATCTGGTCAACCACTGCAAGCCTTCTTGCTTCGACATAACCTTTAGCTTCATTAAACAGCGTTTCTACATGATCTATACAAGCTCTTGTAGCAGATTCCAGCCTGGTGACTTCACCTTTCACCGCATCCTCTGCTTCAGATAGCTTTTTGGAAAAAATTATAGTTTAATTTCAAATTTGTTTTTAATTAAGGAAATATTACTTTTGATATGCATTCGTTTGCTTTGTAGAGGAGGATTTCAGACATGCGCTTAATCGCAATACTGAACGGTATCACAGTATGTTCACAAGAGTCATTTCCACTCGAAGAATGAGAGCCACTCGTGCACTGAGCACAAAAAACTGTATCACAAGTTTCGCAAAACAAGAGTTCCTAGAAGAGATAAGTGAATGTATACTGAAATCAAAGGTTTTTATGGCACACTTACCTGATTAAAGTGCACAGAGCATTTAGGTACTATCTCCCTTCTCTGGCTAGCCATCAAATCGAGCAACTGATTGACAAGAAAAGAGGGCGGCAGTGCCGCTACGCCTCCCCTCGGTACAGTTATGCTTTCTCGGCATATCGGACAGCGAAACGTAGGGGATGTTGCCACCTGGGCTGCAATACGGGAAAGACAATGGAGGCAAACTGTGTGCGAACAAGGAAGCAGTTTTGGTGTATGCTCCCCTCCATCATACATGCCTAAAATACAAAATTAAATTTAGAATTGTATATTTGAAAACTTTTAATGCCTAATAATTTACAAAGCATAAATAACAGAAATGTTCTTATAGTAGATGAGTTTAAATTTTAATAAACAATAACGGAAATATCTATTTGAATCTGCTCTACTTGATTTTTATACACTCATTCTAAAACTCGTATAGTTTTTCCTTCGAAAAAGAAAATAAAGACTGCAGTCATTTGTAAAAGATCTCGAAAATATAATTAAAATCTTCTTGAACTGTAAAATTTCCTCTTGGTGTCTGCGGGATGATAAACCTGTAGTTTAGTCATTTCCGAACATTTTGGTCTGCCTATCTTCACTGTTTTGGTCTGTTAGATGCATTTCGGCTTCTCATCGTCTTCAGTACTGGGTCTGGTGTCCCTATGTTATTTTGTCAGACTTGCTTTTGACATCATGGATTAAGGCCTCAAGATGAAATTTACCATCATGAGATTTCCTTTTTTGATTCTAAGGGGTGATGAATCTCTTCTTGAATCCACTATGATTCAAAGGCAACACATATAAAAGGGACACGTCTGACAAAATAACAGACAGACCAAAACAGCTAGGATAGGAGGACCAAAATGATTGGAAACCACCTAACTGCACAATGTTTTTGGATCAAATAATTTACTAATTTCAGATTCACGAATAATCCACATTTAAAACACTTATCTCTGATGTAATTACAAATAGGAAGTTGGCTTTTGTTTTTCTTAACTACAAGGCAATGTGTTTTCTCTTTATGTTCTAGTTAATGTAGATTTCAATAAATTCACCACCAAACAGAATAAAATAGACAAATAAAAATTCATAAATGTAAACAGTATGTGTTTACAACAGCAAAGGCTACTTTAACAGCTTAATATTCCTGGGGTGTAATAAATTAAATTAGTGACACTTTTAACTATCAAACTAACAAATACTAAATATGGTTTAGGAAGTGCTTTTCCAAATCTTCCATAAGAAGAAATTACATTCACCAAACATTAAACATGATACTGAAAAATAATTAACAAATTATTATATGGAGATCTTGAGAGGCAGTCTGGTGTGACATAGGTTTTAGAAAAACATTTTCTTTATCGTGCCAACGTTTCGATCATTATTGAGATCATAATGTTGGCACAATAAAGAAAATGTTTTTTTAAAACCTACGTCACACCAGACCGCCTCACGATCTCCAAATAATCATTAACCAACTGTCGCTAAACACCACACATTAACAAATTACTTAAGAAAAACAAATTACTTAATTTTTCAAAAACAACTGAATTATACTTATCCCTTAAACCAGAATCATTAATAAACAATTTATATTGATTTTATAGGCTCTTTTAGCATTATCAAGAAACCAAAAAAAAAAATATTATTTTTTGCATGAAAATTTTCAAAACTCAAGGAAACTTATTTGGACAATAGTTCATTGTATGTGTTCTTGATGGACTATTTTTAAGAATTTTATGATTAAAATATGTGTAACTCAGTTTAATACGTGTAATCAGTTTTTTCCAACTATTATTTGCCTACAAACAGGTTTTGTTTCCCGCAATTACGATTGTTTCTATTGATAATGATCAACAACAAAATTATTTCTTGAAACTTTATTCTACACTTATTCTATACAATGGGTAAAACAATAAATAATATTAACTGCCTTAATAAAATAATTGCCACGAGATCACCTATTGTTCCCAGACTCCAGCTCAGATCAATCAAGTTTACTGTAAAACTGTTCTGGATTCTGACAATTTATCATTAATTGGTGACATTAATCGACAAAATGATTGCCATTTTACAAACAAAAGAAATATTAAAATAAAATATTTTCATACAGATTTGAATGGTAAGTTGGGGGTTCCATAAACTCTTACTTTGTTGTTTTGCCCTTTTAATTCTTTTTTGTTAGGATTTATAACATGGAAAAACAAACTGATTAAATACAAGGACCTATTCCTGAGACAATCTATTCAAATTTGATACTTTATACCTATTGTTGTTTACAATTTACACCACAATAATCATCAATGAAATGATTGTCACACAACAAAAGAAAAAAGTTAAAATCTTTTGTTTTCTAAGAAATTGTATATTATAATATTTAACAGTTAAAGACAAGGATCACTGTAATAATCTATACGAATCTAACATGTTTTATAATTGTATACAACGTTAAATGAACAAAACCAAATGTAAAAAACTGCATAAATGAAAATTCAATGGTATAATTGAAAAACTGAATGATTAAAGGCAAAGATGCCTGTGGTAATTTAGTTTGTTATTTTCATAGCTTGAGGCAGGATAATCATCGATGATAAGGTTAATACTATACAAACAAAACAAATGTAAGAATAAACTGTTTTCATACAAATTTGAATGAAAATTCAGTGGTATATCTTTGAAACTATTAAAGGCAAGGATCATTTTAATAAAAATAACAAGATATTGTAGTTTCTGATGATGAGTGTAAATTCCCGAACGTCTAAAAAATTTAATGTAAAAATAAAACAAAAAATTATCAAAAATAATATGGAAAAAACAAAACCCAAATTATAAATAAAAAAAAGATGTCTTATTTTAAAAATCTGTGCTTCATAATAAACATTACAAAATAAAGAAAAAAAACATTGATGAAAGGAAAGAAATAGACAAAACAAAACAAATGAAGAAATGGACAGTTGAAGAAAATTCAACAGTACAATGCTGAATGATTAAAAGCAAGGACGTCTATGATAATCCATAAAAATGCGACAGCAAAATGATCATCGTTGACACAAACAAGACAAATGATGAAATCAACTGTCTGTATGAAAATTCAATGGTGTAATATCCAACGACTAAAGGGCAATCTGTGATAATCTATAAGAACTGGCATTTTTTTTATAACTGTATACAGCCAAAAATCATATTTCAATCATCACTCTACACAAGCAAAACAAATGAAAATATGGTCAGTTTGACTGAAAATTCAATTATATAATGTTGAATGGTTAAAAGCAATGATCTCTGTGATAATCCGTAAGAATCTGACTTTTTTTTTACATGTAAAGATTACAAAATAATCATTGTTGAAAAGGATTGATGCTACGCAAGCAAAACATATTTAAAAAAATGGATAATTGGACTGAAAATTCAATAGTAGAATGTTGAATGATTAAAAGCACGGACCTCTATGATAATCTGAAAGGATCAGTCAGCAAAATAATCATCGTTGACACAAAGAAAACAAATGATACAATCAACTGTCTGAATGAAAATTCAATGGTATAATGTTGAACGATTAAAGGGCGAGGATCATCTGTGATAATCTATAAGAACTGATATTTTTTATAACTGTATACAGCCAAAAATCATATTTCAATCATCACTCTACACAAGCAAAACAAATGAAAATATGGATAGTGTGACTAAAAATTCAATTATATAATGATGAATGGTTAAAAGCAAGGATTCTGTGATAATCCGTAAGAATCTGACTACTTTTTTTTACATATGAAGATTACAAAATAATCATTGTTGAAAGGATTGATGTTACACAAGCAAAACAAATGAAAAAAAAGGACAGTTCGACTGAAAATTCAATAGTAGATTGATGAACTATTAAAAGCAAGGATCTCTGTGCTAATCTATATGGATGTGACAGCTAAATTATCACATGACAATACACAAGCAAAACAAATGATAAAATCAACAGTTCAAATAAAAATTTAATGGTATAATGTAAAATGGAAGAATCAGTTTGATATGTTCATAACTGTAAACGATGAGTCAAGCATCAATGACAGGGTTGTCACTTTATGGCATCACGGCCAACAGGCGACTGAAGGGTACTGACAACTGTCAATGTTTACTTACAAAGGCATGTCCCACAGGTGAGAAAGCTCTCATTGAAGTCTTCATAGTTTATCGAGACCGTCTCGACAAGGGTTGAGCTCATGCTGACCATCTCGGTCGCTGCGATAAAGAAAGAAAAAATTTAATATCAAGCATTCAAATGGTGGGAATAGCCCGTGATTTGAATATCAATCGAATATGACAAATGCAACTTAGAATAGACATCACCTTTTATCGATCTGGCTCTTTTCCCTAAGTGATTTCAGCCAGTTTTAAACACAAAGACTTTGTTGGCATTTCCCCCGAGGGCGAAGAGGAAAATGACGAGGATTTGAAGTCATTTTGAAATCTTCCGAGACGAAGCGGAGCCACGGCTACGATGAGGACGGGGACATTTCGAGCAGGGTGAAATGAGAAAAAGCGAGGAGACGGACGACAGGATGAGAGTTGAGAGCGCCCGTTCTTCGAGGCTCGAGCTACGGAGATCAGCTGGCCAATCGATTAACCTTTGTAGGAACAAGAAACTTGGAGCAAGAGTCGTGAAGGGACAAGGCTTTTGTTTATAAAACTGGATACGCGGAGGGTGGTGAAGCGGGCGCAGGCGCGGCCACTTCGCGCAGATTCTCGATTCTCAAGCAACTCAACTCACAGACTCGCCGAAATCGAGTTGCTCAAGAAACTAAGCTTCAATTTTTTGTCTGGCTTGTTTTGGAAAACCCCTACCTTTAGAAAGAGTTCATTGAACCTATGATTAGTTTGAAATTAATGATTACCACCAAGAATTGAAACAAAAAGTATAATTTACTTGTTAAATAATTACAAGTAATCATTATAAAAACAGATATAAAAAGAGAGGTTTTTTTTAAAAATGAAGCAAAATCATTTGCTTTTACAATTGATGAAATCTAACAGAAATTGCACATCTTAAACCACAATGATTGTCTAAATGTAGTATTCTTCCTCTAAGAATAAGCAACAGAGCTACCAAATCACTTGGAGGCATCCAATAACATTTTTAGAGCTTATATTGTCTTCAAATGCTAGGTCTGTCATAAGTTTATCCCTACAATTAATGCTTCAATGGAAATTAATAAAGAAGTGATACACAGACATATTAGTCGGGATGTATATTATACTGCACCCTTTAAGAGCTATTGATTCCCTGTTCTGTGCTTAAAGCCGTAAGTCCTAGTTCATTAAGTTAAGTAACTTGATAAGTAGTCCCGTTTTAAGTGGTTCAGGCTCTTCTATGGATACAATGTGCGTTCCAAAACAGTTCCTCCTGCTGGCAGTTTGTTAGGTGTGTTGGTGTTTCAGCTTCTTTACAGAATCTGCACATGCTGTGTTGTGTTATGCCAACCTAAGTTCGTTAGGAGGTTCTTGGATTGTTTGTGTCCAATAGGAGTGTTCCATTGTTCCCCCATTTTATTTGTATCCTGTCTGAGGTGCTCCTATGCTTGGGTCCTACCAGCCCCCCTCTTCTTGCAAGGGCATCCGCTATGTAGTTGCCATCTACTCTCACAAGTCCTGGGACCCCAGCAAAAGCTGACTTTGTTTTGCATACCTAATTTGTTTAATTTAGTTTTCCAATTCAGCACCGTCTTTGAGCTAATGATGTTTGACCTTAGCACTCTGATGGCTGCTTGGCTATCTGACAGCCATTTATCTAGCAATTAATGGAAATGTGATATGTATTGCTATGACAAACTACTTTTTATTCTTGTTTTTGTTCCCTTTGTTTAGATTGAATTGGGTACATCTTTCAATTGCATGGACCTTAGCTTGGAAGAACTGGTGTATTTTCACATGGGTTCTGAGTATTTGGTTCAAGGACTGAACCTGTACCTTCTAGCATTCTAGACCCGTCTGTATACCAATATGGTGCAATTCTTAAAGTTCGTGTTTTTCTCTCTTTCCCATTCCTTTTTGGTACATAAAGAAGTGATATACATTTTCTTTTCACTGCAATGACACATTGGACATTCAAACTACAAAGTCAATGATCACTGATAGCTCTTTAGTCAATAGAGAATAGTTCTCTAAATTTAATTACTTGCTTCAGAAATACATGAACTATAATCTTGCCGAATCGAGTTGCTCTTGCAAAGCTTCCCTTTTTTTGTCTGGCATGTTTTAGAAAGCTGCTAGTTTATAAAGTTTGTTGAACCAGAGACCTCTAGAATCAAGAAAAACAGTGCAATTTGTTTGCTGGATAAATCAAGTAATCATTATAAGAATATGTATAAAAAGAGAGGAAGCTTTTGAAAATAAAGCAAAATCATTGGTCATTGACCATCATCATTGAGACATCAGAAAGTTCAAATTTTAAAGCCACAATTATTATCCAAATGTAGTATTTTTCCTCCAAGACTAAGCAACTGAGCTACAAAAAAACTTAGGGACATCCTAAAAAATGTCTAGTACATATCTACACTGCCTTCAAATGTCTGTAATAATCATTATCTTCCATTAGTACTTCCCCAAGCAATTAATGAGAAAGTGATATATATTTTATTTTTCATTGCTATATTTTTTTAGTGATAATCACTCATAGGTCTATAAACAATAGGCGATGGTAGAAATGATAAATGATGGAGTGAGTGTGGTGTTCAATACTTTTTAAAAGGATAGTTCCTACTCACAGTAAGTACTTACTGTGAGTAAGAACTATCCTTTAAAAAAAAAAAAAAAAAAAAAAAAAAATAGGCAATGGTTCTTTTAATTTAATTATTTGCTTCGGAGATATATGAACTATACTTGCGGAATTGAGTTTCATGAAGCAAAACTTCCATTTTTTGCCTGGCTTGTTTTAGGAAATAACTACATTTCGAAAGAGTTCATTGAACCAGATTCCTGAGATTACTTACCACCAAAAATCAAGAAAAAACAGAACAATTTGCTTGTGAGAAATTAAAAGTAATAATAAAATCTTTAAAAATAAGAGGATAGCTTTTGAAAATAAATCCAAATCCTTTGCTGTGACGTTGATGAGATTGATCAGAAAGTGCACTTCTTACAAATACAATGCTTGTCTAAAAAATATAGTATTTTTCATCCAAGAATAAGCAATAGAGCTACAAATTCACTAGGCTTCCTAATCAAATTTCTAAGATTCAAATGCTAATTTTAAAATGTATCATTATCTAACATTAGTGCCTTATATGGTAAAAGAAAGTGATGTACATTTTCTTTTTCATTGTTATGACACATCGGATATACTAACTTCATTTTCTGTGGTAATCACTGATAGGCCTAAAATCAATAAGCAATGTATTCTCCTATTTTAGTGATTTGTACTGTAGGTACATGAACAGATTCTTGCTGAATTGAGTGACTCATGAAACAGTTTCTTTTTAATGTCTGGCCTATTTGAGAAAACTGCTACCTTTTCAGAAAGTTCATTGAAAGTAAGACCAAAAACCAATACAATTTGCTTGTATATTAAAAGTAGTCATTATAAAAAGAGACATATTTTATTCCAATTTAAATGAAAGATTGCATTGTATTCTGTATAGAGTATTTCATTGAAAACTAAATCCTTCTCCCAGATTATAAAGAATCTAAGCAATTATTTTTTCTGACTTGTTTCAGTAACAGCTACTTTTTTTTGTCAAGTAAGGATTCCAACTTTTATAGGTCTATGGTCTATAGTGAAGCCCATATTATTAAGACATTACAGAGGAAGTACACTTTTTCTCACAAAAGCACTTGCCTTTCCCTTGGTGTGAGAATTGCCTTACATGTACAAATTATACATGCTAGTGGCTCACATTGACATAGGAAATGCGCCGATGTCTCTGGCTAATCTGACAGTCTGCTTTGTCCACCTTATTTAGGTGTAGTTAAGAGGAGTTCCTTCATCTTCCTTTTTGAGAGTTTTATAAATCTATTTCTTTGCCTCATACACGGTGCATTTGTCCAGTGTTAAAGTTTTCTTTTGCAAGCCATTTTTCTAGCTAGAACCTTAGCACAGTAGTTCCAGTCTCATGGGTGAGACGGCTGCTCCTTCTCTGCAAATAGGTCAGCCTATTCATTTATGTTTAAATGTTTCTTATCACACAGCTACATTTACAAACAAAGTTAAGCCAACTGGGGTCTTAGGATTAATAATTTAATGTTAAAAGAAGTGATTATAAAAACATAAATAAAAAGCTACAATTAATTAAGGTTTTTAGTTGAGATATAAAAGTCAATGGCACGAGCAGGATTCGAACCCACGATCTTCGGCTTGATCCGCCGCTGCTCTACCACCTGAGCTATCGTGACCTCGATCCACTCAGACACCAACTTCCCATCTCAACCCCACCTTTTGAATTTTCCCTCCTTTTTGCCATTTTTCAAATGTCGTGTAATCGGGTTGGATTCTCGACGACAAATGGTCAAGCGGACCACGAAATTAGTGAATTTAATGATTAAAAATGAAGTATACTTCACTAAAGCTCTCCGTGGCCATTTCATTTGTCGTCGAGAATCCAACCCGATTACACGACATTTGAAAAATGGCAAAAAGGAGGGAAAATTCAAAAGGTGGGGTTGAGATGGGAAGTTGGTGTCCGAGTGTATCAAGGCCACGATAGCTCAGGTGGTAGAGCAGCGGCGTATCAAGCCGAAGATCGTGGGTTCGAATCCCGCTCGTGCCATTGATTTTTTATTTCAATTAAAAACCTTAATTAATTGTTGTAGTATATTAATTGGTCAAGCGAACCACAAAGTTAGTGAACAAATAAAAAGATCGATGCTTTGGAAAATAAAACAAATCATTTGCTGCGAATGATCAGTTCACACTCTAAAACCACAATGATTGTTTAAATGTGGTGTTTTTGCTCTAAAAATCCTGTTTTTAATTTTATGGGGATAACTAAGAAATTTTGCTCAAATTACAATATTGAAGTCTATGTTATGTGTGTACACAAATTTGTGTACAAAAAGGCAAAAGTTGTACATTTATGCATAAAATAATTTATTAAGTAATTAACTTTTATACTATATTACTATTAAAATGAACAACATGCTTGGAATTATAAGGAAATCTGAAAAAAATTAAAAAATTAATAATAAGACTTTTTTATTATAGAAAAAATGTGATAACAATACAATAAATAAGATAAAAGTTTAATATCTAATATCACAGAGTTTAAATTGAAAAATATGAACCAGACATGTAGTAATTTAAGATCGTTTATCTTTCCAGTTCGTATTTCAATAGTGCTTAGATAAAAATAATGATTATTGATAATAGATAGTGTCCAAGAATGCTTTCAGGTGTTTTACAACCTATTTAAAATGTAACTAACCCTTATTTTTTTCTGTTTCATACAAAGACATACTTACTGGATGGAAATGGGGACAATTGCAGGATGAAGGTCTTACCTTGGCCTTCCAAAACTTGTAAACGTCCTTCACATAACTATCATTGATTTTTGGACTGTGATTTGAAAGCGAGCGCAACGTTTCGCTCTGAAAGATTAAAAAAAAATATATAAAAAATAAATAAACAAATAAATGAGAAATTAAAAAACTTTGAATTACCCTTATGTAGCTGAGGACTTTCATAGGTCTGCAATTTAACATCTTGCAGAGACCTTTTCTATCTTTAATCTCCTCCAGTATTTCGAGAAGGTCATCGATACCAAAAAATGATATATTCAATGGAACATCAGTTATAAAGAAAGAAGTTTTAGTTCCATCTGGAAAATAATGTTTTTTTATAAAAAAGTTGTGGATTATTTGGGGGGAGAAAGCCAAGAAACCTTCAAATTTTTCAATTCTTAGACCATTTTTTGTGATTTTTTCACTGCAAATTACTGTTTTGCCAACACTTTCATCAAAAGTTGTTTCCAGTGATAGCAAAGTGTCCCAAAGCTCTTTTCCAATATCTCTGAAAGAAGAAAATGCCTGATATTTGAAATAATGTAAAACAAAGAACTTTCATACTCTTTCAGGATTGGGATGTTGTTTTCGAGGACTTTTATAGGCACTGACATATGTGAAATATTGTTGTGGAGTTTCATAGCTTCATTTAATCTCTGGCTGCTAAAAACTGATATGCTTTCATCTTCCTGTACAACAATTAAATTGTCATTTAGCCTGCCTAGTACCTCAAATTGTTCCGAATGTACTGTTTTATCACTGGAATTTAAAGTTTGGTTAAAAAGTGGCCTAATAGTAAAAATATTACTTACCGGCTGCTGATGAATTCTTTAATTTTGTCTGTAGAAATTTTCCAAAGGGTGACTTTTGGGTAGACTTTCTTTACAGATCTTTCTTCTTTCTTTTTCATAATCGGAGATGCTTTATTTGATTGTTTTTTCAATTTCAAACATTCCTTCTCAGCTTTGGACTGTTCTTTGTAAACTTGCTTTTCATTTTCATGTAGATTTTTCCATCTTGACGACAACTCGCTTGCAACTGATGTAAACGAAATGCCTGGGGATTGCTTGATAACTAAAAAACGAATCAAAACTTTATAATCGTTTTTTCGTATTGAAAAGAAATAAAATATACTTTGTGCTCTCATTTCTCGTGCGAACTTAGTAAAAGCAGCCATATCTTTTTGCCCCATTTGACTACTGACGCTTCTTTCACTGAGCTGGGAAGTACAAGACGTTTCTAAGCCTGTGTAGTTTAGCATGCTTTCATTCTGTTGTGCTATAACAGTCGTTCCCTTAAAACAAACTTAATTATAATTTTGCTCAAGAATTTTGTATTGATAATAAATTTAAAAAAAAAATACTTGTACAGACTGCCCGTTAAATTCAACATTGCCTCTGCTCCAATCTGATGATGTAAGAACACAGTGGGCAGATAATGTACTTAATGGTTTATCAACTGAGGAATTTTCTGTAGAAGAATTATTTTGGGTTTCGTCTACTAAACTGGATAGATCATTCATCTAACAATAAATAAGATAATCTATAAAATTGTCTTATTATAAATTGTTTATTTAAACAGACTTTTTATTATTATATTGTATAACTTTTGCTATTTGCTATTTGAACTACTATTTAAGTGAACTAATTTTGAGATTTTCAGTTTCAACAGTAGTTAACTTTCAACGTACCATTTCGCCTTCCACCATAGGTTCGCAGTAAGTCTCATCGGAAGCATCTTCCTGTTTGAAAATTGACAAAACCAGATCATTAATATGTTTCTCGGTTTCAGACAGAGACGGATTCGTACTGTCGGTCATCTTGAAGAGAGAACTTTCCACTGGTCTTGTCGTAAATTCGCCTTTTTCAGCCGAATCCGAATTAATTTCAATATACTCGCTTGAAGATGGATAGTTTTTGTTATTTCTTTGGGGCGAGGTAGGATTTAAACTGGTTTTAACCGATTCATCTTGAGATGCTAAATGCGATGATGAATTGTTTTCCATCGGTGATGATTTGTTGCATTCATCATTTAAAACTTCACTTTCTGTCTCCTGTGATAAAACTGGCAGATCGAATTCGCTGTCTATTTTTGGAATTTTTGAGGAGACTTCTACAAAACCGTCGTCTTTTTTTCGCTTCGTTACTTTCACTTCCTGGGTAGGTTTAGGCGGTTCCATATTTCCCACATAATATTCAATCAATAATCTTTTAATTAATTTTATTAGAATATCCTGAAAATTGACAAAAACAAATCAAAAATGGCCATAAAATATAGAAAAATTACAATACCAAATCTTTGATGAGAACTTTAGTCTTATTTGGTTCCAAATTCACATCCAGACTATCAGGAGGTAAAGATATTGTGATTAAGCATGTTGGATACTTATTTACAGGGATTAATGGTCCAAAAAATTGATACACTTCTTCATGAATGGCCTGAAATTAGGAATAACTTAACTTGTTTTTATGACTCAATCAACTAATTACCTTTTCTATCTGCTTGTCTCTTATAGGTCTAGAATTTATAAATAAAAATATGGCATCCATTGGATTTCCATAGCACGTACTCGAAACATTACACTCTCGGTTTGGCACAACTAATTTAAGTTTGATCTAAAAATATCAACAATAAGAAAGAGCAAGATAAAGACTTTTAAAAATTTAAAAACATTAATTTTAATTTTTCTTTTCAAGCCCTTACATTTCCTTCTTCATGGTCTATTTCATGCAACTGCTTGACTATTGTCGGAGGGAGCACTTGAACGAAAGACTGCATAAGTGAACTGACGCCGGATTTCTGCCAAATTGTAAATTTATTATGTGACAGTACGAATCTAACACCCTGGTTAATCAAGGCCAAGTTTTTAACTAGGATTTCGACTTTTTTCAGTTCCTCGCTTCGCCTTTTGCCACTATTTAGGAACTGCTTTCTGACTGGTAAAGCTTTAAAAAGCTCAACGGCGACAACAGACGTGCCTAAGAAATTGTAGAAACTGTCACCTGGGTTTATACGGTAAATCATGATCTTTACCTCTATTTAAATGGGAAATACAAGATGAAACAATATCACCATTATTGTCAAAAGTGTAAGTGTGAGCGATGTCATCCTTATCAGTCATGGTTGTTATTGACACTTCGGCCACAGCACAAAGGGAACTCAAAGCCTCTCCCCTAAATCCATAGCTGTTCAGCTTTTCTGAAAAAAAGAATTGCATTTAAACTATTGTTCATCTATTGTGAATTATTCTTTAATCACCTAGGTCAGAAAAATCACTGATCTTTGAAGTATAACTTCTTTTACACATAAAAGGAACATCCTGCTTTTTGATTCCACATCCGTTATCTTTCACTTCCAACCTAGCTAAACCATGATTTTCCTAAAAATATAAAATATAATGTATCGTGAACTTTCTTCCTGTGGTCTGCGGGTTGAAGAACCTGTAATTTTGAGCAGTACCGATAATTTTGGTCTGTCTGACATATTTCGGCATCTTCAGTGTGTCTATGTATGCAGACAAACAATATGACAAAATGCATCCGACAAACCAACCAAGCGAGAATAGGCAGATTAAAATGATTGGGAATGACCAAAACATAAATAGTTTGGTTCTTTTTGATCATTATGATTTACCTATCCTAGCTATTTCCGTTTGTTATGTGCATAACTTCTTGCTAATGTCAGTGGTGAGTCAGACAGGTCGACAGACCAAAACAGTGAGGATAGGGAAACCAAAATGATCAGAGTCTGACTTCAGGTTCATTACCCAAAGACCTCAAGAGTAAATCTCACAATCTTTTCAAGTGCATTACACTGTTTTTATTAAGCTTATTCTCTTTATGAATAAACAAGTTCAGACTAAATAAAAATACACATAAACATATTAAAATGGTGATACGTTAAAATGGACAGGCCAAAGTGAGCATTTCACACTAGAATTATTGGAAACAACCAAATTACAAGTTCATAACCCCAGAGACTATAAGAGTACATTTCACAATCTAATCAAGTGTATTAAACTGTTTTTACAATGTGTGGTGTTTGGTGACCATTAGCCAATGATTATTTGGAGATTGTGAGGTGCGGTCTGGTGTGACGTAGGTTTTAGAAAAACATTTTCTTTATCATGCCAATGTTTCGATCTTTATTGAGATCATCTTCAGGGCTTAAAGTGTTTGTTTTCCGTGTAGATGTGTCATTCTTGTGTGTCGTGTTGAGAGTCTCCACAATTGTTTTTACTATACTTATTTTCTTTACTTATTAAAAAGTACTACTAAATTATAATAAAACACAAACATACTGAAAATGGTGATCTATTGAAATGTGATGGGCCAAAATAGTAAGAACTGTCACGCCAGAATTATTGGAAACAGTCAAACTACAGGTTTGTAGACTTCTAACTTGTACAGTTCTACCCCAGAGAACTCATGAGTAAATTTCACTATCTAATATATATATGTTAGGCTGTTTTTATATATAAAACTACATAAAAATTACACTCAAACATGCTGAAAAGGGCGGTATGACGAAATTAAAACACGACAGGCCAAAACAGTGAGCATTGTTATACCAGAATTATTGGAAACAACCAAACTAAAGTTCGTCATTCCGGAGGCTTCATGAGTTGGTATGGTATGGTATGGTGGAAAGGATACAAGGAAGCGGGGTTTGTATTCCCCAGGCACTGCAGCCTTCCGGCTTATTGTACCTTCCGAGTTCCTTAGTTCAGTCAATAGACTCAATCCTTCTTCTTAGAAGTATCAGGTCATTGACTGTTGCTGCTGCAATTTGATTCCCTAAGTCTTTTCCGTACGTTAGGTTAAACCTCCATTGAGCTGTTGCTTCGCATTTGAAGATGATATGAGTGGCCGTTTCCTCCTCCTCATTACATAATCTGCAAATGGGATCATCGCTGTATATACCCATGTTGTGTAGATGTTTTCTTAGATGCCGTGACTGGTTACTAGTCCTACCACTCCTCTGAGTTTGGCCCTCTCCAATTGCAGCAGTGTTTTTGCCAGTCTCGGTGAGGGTTGTTTCATCATAAGTTTATGTCTAGCACCGCTAGAGTTTATCCACTTCTCCTTTTGTTTTGCTTGGATCCATTCTGCGATGGAGGATTCTATATTTGTTTTTATTATCCCAAGAATAGGTTCGGGGCCTATGTATGGTCATGCAGATCCTCCTCTGGCCAGTCTGTGTGCTTTCTCGTTACCCAAAATTCCCCTGTGCCCTGGCACCCAAGATATCATCAGGATGTTGTTTCCCCAGGTTGTGGAGATTTTGGATGCATTCACTGACTAATTTTGATGTGATTCTTTTACATGCTACAGACAACCCTCCTATAACACAGTACTCTCAGAAGGCGGTTTCTATATAACGCGTAACTGAAATTGCGACAGCCCTCCCATAACGCGGTACTCTTACAGTTTCTGTTTAACAGAATCCATAAGTCCCTTCCACACAGCCTATGAATGACTCTAGTAATTAGATATTGTAAGAGGTTTTAATGTAAGTTTTATTTTCCACGCAAAAGCACAGCCGAGCTACATAAACAATATGTTTATATAAACATGCCAGCTTATCTCATAGCCGTTTACGGCATCGGTTTCAGTCATCTCAGAGATCTTTCACAGTACATACATTTTATTGGTGACCAAGTCTTTCTAAAAAATTTTCTACACCTTCCGTTCGTTCAGCTTTTAGCTGCTTAATTTGTGATTTATAATTGGACAACATTACACAATACGATAAGTAATATGCTTAAGTTGTACTAATATAATAATAATAAAGTAATTAATTTTATTAAAATAATTAATTACCCTAGATTTGCATCATGTCAAACACAAAAGAAACAAGGAAAGTATTAAAAAGAAAGTTTATATCGCTTGAAGATAAAATCCAAATTTTAAATCATTTAGAAGGCGGGGAAAAAATATCGTCTGTTGCAAAATCAATAAATTTGAATGAATCTACAATTTGAACTTTAAAGAAAAATGCAGATAATATAAGGAAAACTGTGGGCAGATGGCTGTCCGTTAGGTGCGAAACGTGTTACTCGCACACGAAATTCTAATATGGTTAAAATGGAACGGGCGTTAATGATCTGGTTGGAAGACTGTATAGCCAAAAAGATTCCTATCAGTGGAAATCTTATCATAAGAAAGCACTTAAAATCTACGAACATTTAAGACGCTGCTTAATATTGGGCATTCTTTTGCAGGGCTAGAAAATAATTCGTTTGTCGCGAGTAAAGGATGGTTCAAAAAGCTAAAAAAAAGGTACACATTGCACAATATTAAGTTTCAAGGAGAACAGGCCTCAGCAGATGCCGAAAATTATAAGCTGGAACTGGCTAGAATTATCAATGAAGGAGGTTATTCACCTGATCAGATTTTTAACGCTGATGAGACGGCATTATATTGGAAAAAGCTACCATCTAGGACCTTCATTCTGAAAAATCGAAGGCGTGCTCAGGGGTTTAAACTTTCAAAAGAACGTATCACCCTTCATGTGTGCAGCAATCTATCAGGGAGCCTGATGATAAAACAGATTAGAAAATAGTGAAAATAAAACTCTTATTCAAGTGTGGATGGAATTTTCTATTTTAGATTGTATTAGAACCCTGTCATCGGCTTGCGCGGAAATTAAACTATCAACGCTTAATGCGTGTTGGAAACCTCTTTTACCTCAAATGGTTCAAGCAATACAAGATGATTCTACAATTTCACTCCCAGTTTCAGAATAGTAAACATTGCTTCTCGTTTAAGCGATGAAGAATTTGCAGTAAACCATCAGGATGTAAGAGAACTAGTACTCGGGGAAGAAACTTTAGATGAGGAAGAACTGATGGAATTAATTGATGCACCTACCTCAAATGCATTAGTAAACGAAAATAAGGAAAACGATTGGGTGCCAAATCTCGATTTACAAGATGTGAAAAAAGGGCTAAATTTGGCTAAAGAATTAGAACTTCATTTCATTCAAACTGATCGTTCAACGGTGCGCAGCGCAAAGTTTAAAAGAGAGTTAAGAAATTGCTTAGCTCCCTATAGAGAGGTTTTAGTGGAGTTAGAAAAAAAAGCTACGATCGAAAACCAATGTGAAGAAGAACCAAGTGAGGAAGACATTTTGCCCATTAAAAGAAGACGAGTTAGGCGACTCATATCTGACAGCGAGGATGAGTGTTGAAAAATAAATAATTTTACAAAAGTCTTTCTTGTTTTTGTTGGAAAACAGTCTTTTAGTTTAGTTTTTGTTTCATTTTTTTTTTAACAATCCTTATATGAACTCTTCAATTCAATAAAAATAATTCATAATTTATCTTGTCTTTTGTATTTATTGGTCTCCATATAACGCGGTACGAATGATGTGATTTGTACTAATTCCGAGTTTCTTATAGTGCAGTTTCCATACAACGCGGTAGACGGTTTCCATAGAACACGCCACGAATTAGCCTGGTTTGTACGATTAAATCCGAGTTTCTTATAGCGCGGTTTCCATATAACGCGGTATGCACTCACCGTGTTATAGGAGGGCTGACTGTAATGCATTAATAGCTATTTGGCTATCAGATATTATGAGGATGTTTTCGCCCATGTAACCTCTTTTAAGATTTTCCAGGGCACAAGCGTTGATGGATTTATTTCTGCTTAAAATACCCTTAATGAGTTTGATTGCTCAAATTTTGGGCTTGTACAGAAAACGCCTGATCCAGTTCCTTCGTTTGTTTTGGAGCCATCTGTGTACCATATCATTGTATCTGATGCTCTCCTGTGTTCTTCCTCTCCTTTATAGTCCGTTGAGATTTTATAGGAAGTTGTGAAGATTGTTTCCGGGATCATGTAATCAGTCCCCATTTCTAATAATGGGTGTCTGATTTTGTTGATTATGGTTGTATGCCCGAATTGTTTAGTGCCTTTTCAATTTAATTGTTTCTGGAGCCTAAGTGAGCTTTTCCTAGCCTCTCTTGTATGAATATTTCCAATGGAGGTAGGTTTAGCAAAGTTTCTAATGCGTTTGTAGGGGTTGCTCTCATTACTCCTGTGATACATAGGTTTGCTAGTCTTTGTATGCTGCCTAATGTTTGGGTAGCTACTTTTTGTTGAGCTTTGTTCCGCCAGATTAGTGATCCATAGGTTATTCTGGGTCTTATTACTGCCGTGTATAGCCAATACGCCATTTTCGGTTTTAGTCTTAGGGATGGTTAGGGATGGTGATATGTGATTCGGTGATATGTAATACCGAAGACTTTACGAGTAAATCTCACAATGTGTAGTGGCTAATATGCTAATATAAGTTAAAAAAAGAAGACCTAAGCAGCAAGTATTGGCACACTAGAATAATCAGAAACAACCATACCACAAGTTCATCACCCCGAAGATCTCATGAGTAAATTTCACAATGTAATGTGCTAAAATGGTGACATGTAAAAAAAGAAGACCTAAGCAGCAAGTATTGGCACACTAGAATAACCAGAAAAACCAATGTTTTAATTCATCACATAATTATCTTTCTCTTGCTCTCGCTCACCATTAAAACACTATAAGTAACGTAAGGATTATAAAACATTACCAGTTTCACTTCAATGTTTGTTGCTCCTGCATCGATGGAGTTTTCAATCAATTCTTTTACAACAGTTGAGACCGAAGTGATGACCTGTGCACTGCTTATTAGTTTTAATGTTGAACTCGACAAACGGTTCATACTCGGGCCATTTGTAGATTCTAAAAAGACAACCAATTCAGACTGACATTCCACAACCATCTAAGAAGAAGTATTAAGTACCTGAAGACATTTTTGAGCATCTAGTTCAAACTCTGTTAGTGACTGTTGATCTGATTGAAAATTGATTCAGTATAGTTTTTCCGCTTTACAAATGAAAATAAAAACTTTTTCTGTGTAAATCTAGGATTTGTTTTGAAAATAATAAATAATATTAAGAATAGGAGGATGCAGAAGGGTTACTACACATGTGGGAACATTTCGAATTAGATGATTGGATCCGTTACAGTCGATGTCAGTTTTAAATTAATTAAAACTCATTAAATAAATTCTTTAAATTGGGAAAAATGTACAAAACAAGAGCCTGAAGCAGTTTGAATTTTTTTTTATACTGCAGTGATTTGAAAAAAGGAGGGGTCACAATTAGAAACATCACACAAATTACAAAATATTGCGTATATTTATGTATTATAAATAACATTTGTGTTAAATATTTTCCATTGATTTTTAAATTGTGATTATTGATAATATACACGGTAAAGTGATATTTCATTTGTTTTTTGATAACATTGCTCTATCTGTTTTTGACTTTGTTCCCTGTTAACCGCTCGTTGTCTCCTGTTTTATTTTTCCTTACCTTGTCGGTTATCAGTTATAAGATAATGTATAAGATTTTTTGTAACTTTCTAGTTTGAAGGACGATTCTGAAGAAACTTTCTCATTTTTCGTTTTATTTCCTTTGTCCCTTGGCAAATTTGGTAAAGCGTGATGGTGTGCAGGATTGGAAAATTTCTGAACCTGTATCGGAGGAGTGGACCGCTTGCCAGCCAGGTCCAGAGTAGAAACTTGAACTTGCTCGAATGCCATAGTAAAGTCCTCCTTCAAAATTATGGTGTCAACGTTCAGAAGTTCCTCATCATTGAAGATCCAGTGGAGGCCAAAGATTTGGAAACGAAATTCAAAGTGGATGAGTATGTCATCAAAGCTCAGGTGAAGCGATTCAAATCTCTCCATACCGAATGAACTTAACATAACTCTTTTTAACGGTCTAAAAACTGCCTTCTTTATTTAATTAACTTTCCTATGTTTTTTGTAAATTTCAACTCAAGTTAACCGAAAATTATTTATACAGGTGTTGGCCGGTGGGCGAGGTCTTGGCCATTTTGACAATGGTTTCAAGGGAGGTGTTCATCTGACGAGAGACTCAACAGAGGTACGCCCGATAGTCGAAAAGATGGTCGGCCACAAGCTGATAACGAAGCAGACGCCTAAAGAAGGCATCCTAGTTCATAAAGTTATGGTCGCCGAGTCTGTCAACATTCAGAGGGAAACTTATTTCAGCATAGTCATGGATCGTTTTTTTAATGGTCCTGTAATCATTGCATCTCCAATGGGAGGGACTGATATTGAGACAGTTGCCAAAGAGACACCACACCTCATCAAAACGTACCCTATTGACATTTACAAGGGCATCTCGCTTGATTTGGCACAAGAAGTAGCCTTATTCCTTCAATTCGAAGGTCCAAATCGTGTAAAAGCTGCTAATGAGATAAAAAGATTGTATGATTTATTTGTAAATGTAGATGCGACACAGGTCGAGATAAACCCACTCGCTGAAACCTCAGATGGCCAGGTTGTTTCTGTAGATGCTAAGATTAATTTTGATGATAATGCTAAGTTTAGGCAAAAAGCTATATTTCAGCTTGATGATAAAAGTGAGACGCATCCTCTCGAGGCCAAAGCGGCAGAGAACAATCTTAATTATATCAGGCTGGATGGTCAAATAGGTTGCATGGTCAATGGTGCAGGTCTCGCCATGGCGACAATGGATATTATCAAGCTTTACGGTGGAGAGCCTGCAAATTTCCTCGATGTCGGTGGTGGAGTTAAAGAGTCCCAGGTTAAACAAGCCTTTGAGATACTCTCGTCCGATCCCAATGTCAAATCAATCCTTGTCAACGTTTTTGGTGGGATCGTCAACTGCGCAACGATTGCCAATGGCATAGTTGAAGCCACGAAATCTTTAAATCTTAAAATGCCCCTTGTCATTAGGCTCGAAGGTACTAATGTGACTGCAGCTAGAAAAGTTTTAAATGATTCTGGCCTTAAAATTACATTTGCAGAAAATTTAGACGAAGCGGCAAAAAAAGTTGTGTCAACCTTAAAATAATATGTTCTATAGATCAGGCAAAAATCAGTTCATCACTAATGTTAATTCATTCCTTCCAAGATTGAGCCTAGCTTTTTTAGTCATTAAATAGATTAAACTAATCTGTAGTTATATTTTCATAAAAACAAAAACTTGTCAATTTAGTTTTTAAAAAAATTAAACATGTGAAAATCATAGTTAACAATGCTATGGTGATATAAATGTTTGGTTATGTAAAGTATTTAAGTCTCTATTTAAATACCTTATATTTTTGTACTCAAGAATAAATAAGTTTTCAATGTTCAAATGAGTTAAATGTTTACCCATTTACAACTATTATCCTCATCAGTTGTGATATTTTGACAGTCTGGGGTCAGAGGTCAGACATCTCTCTTATCCATCCCGCTGCCGAAGTTCTCCATGGTGGGTCAACAGCTAGGTCTTTTCAGCCCTTAACTCATGCGGTTTTTAAGCTTAGGCATAATTATTGATTCTTAAATATAATCTTTCCTATTTACATACCATTCACTCTAATAAATACAATCACCCTCCAAATAATAGGAGACGGGACCGTGTAGTTAGGTTATTCTACTCGTTTATGGAACCCTCGATCTGGGTTTGATGCCTATGACGTTTTAATTTATAATAGTATAAAATATTTACAGTAAAGTGGTGCGACCTCTTGTCTGTGACACCCAATGGAAGGTGGACTTCCTATATGACAGTATTTAATTATTAACCAGATTTGTATTTTAATTATACTAAAGTTAAGAAATTATGATTTTTTGTTACAAAAATCTAATTTTAGACTAAAGTCACAAAATTGTTAATATTTCAGGAAAGAGTCAAGATAGAAACCTCGTTCTGGTGGCACTGAACTATATTTTAGCGAATCCACCATGTCAATATTGACATTTAAACCTGTATACAATAGAAACAGCCCAGCTTTGTCCAAATAACAGAACAGGGTCTCCCCATGACTTGCTCAAACACAATTTGCATATCAGCCAGGAATTCCTCCTATCCAAGAATTGACACCCTTCAATTAAGTGGGACACATCAAGCAACCTTTTTTTTGCTTATTCACAGGCTTTGGTCTAAAACTGTGTCTGTATGTCAACCTAGTTGGCCTTTTTTAAATAAGCCATGTATTTTCCTTCTTATTCAATTCAGATCCTCTGAGAGCCACTTGTTAACTGTGCTTGATCTGACCCACTAATAAAAGAAGTAAGCTATTAATTCCACTAATTTCATGGTCCGCTTGATCAATTAATATATTACAATTAATTAAGGTTTTTAGTTGAGATAAAAAAGTCAATGGCAAGCGGGATTTGAACCCACGATTTTCGGCTAGATACTCCGCTGCTCTTCCACTTGAGCTATTGTGACCTCGATCCACTCGGACACCAACTCCCATCTCAACCCCACCTTTTGAATTTTCCCTCCTTTTTGCCATTTTTCAAATGTCGTGTAATCGGATTGGATTGGTGTGACAAATGAAACAGCCATGGAGAGCTTTAGTGAAGTACACTTCATTTAAATTCACTAATTTCGTGGTCCGCTTGACCAATTAATATCATTCAATTAATTAAGGTTTTTAGTTGAGATAAAAAAGTCAGTGTCACAAGAGGGATTCGAACCCAGGATTCGGCTAGATACACCGCTGCTCTACCACCTGAGCTATCGTGACCTCGATCCACTCGGACACTAACTTCCCATCTCAACCGCACCTTTTGAATTTTCCCTCCTTTTTGCCATTTTTCAAATGTTGTGTAATCGGATTGGATTCTCGACGACAAATGTATTATTATTAATGTAAGTGTTGATAATAAATAAGACTAGAATATGGATTGATTACAAAAATTCCTTTATTTAACTAGTTACAACTTATTATCACATCAGCATTCAGTTTAAAAAAAATATAAATTTATTTTACACACTGGAAAAATATTATACGTGTATTAATATCAAAACAAGAATAATTGCACTTTATCTTTCTTAACTGCCTAAATAGTTTCAATTGTTCAATCCTCCACCGTGGGACAGTGCGTCGGAGATTTGCAGGAAAAATAACAACTGATTTCGGATGTCGGGCAGTCGGTTAGTCTTTTATAGCCCCATTTACTAAGAAACTCCTCTATCCCTTCGGAGCAGCAGGGGTCGTCGTCGCCCTCAAACGAGTCATCAGAATCTTTGAGGACGAATCCTATCACAGAAATACTTATCTTCCCAACTGGTATTGTCTTCAAAACCTGTTTAATGAAATAATTTTTAATGGAATTGTCATTGAGTATTAATAATTTAAAAGCTTACTTGGTGGTAATGTTTACTGACAACATTAAGTATTAACAGGTCAACAGAGGAAGCATTATATGCTTGAATCAATGAATAGAGAGGGAAGCAAGGAATCACTGTCGTTCTACCTTCCTCAGCCCTTGAAGTTTGCTTAAAAGTGGCCTAAAAATGCTCAAATTAGGTTTGAACAATCCATTTAAATTGAAGAGTGTTATACATGAGTCGGATAGATTGTTGGGCTGATGCAGACTCTGGCGGTATGAGCTCTTTTCCGTCCAGAGGCAGCCAGAGCGTCGTAGTCTTCTGGATGAGGCTGTGTGATCAACCCTCTCCATCCCCAGAATTTCTCAAGCCAAAGAGTATCGCTAACAAGCCCGCCGCCACACTCGATAAAAATGCCTCCTTTCTAAAAAAAAAAAAAAAGAAAAATGAAAAAATATTAATAATAAATTCTACATATTTGGACATTACAAACAAAAAAAAAAGCAATTACACTTTTTGTAAATAATTTGTTAGATTCATTAGGAGTCGAGAATGAGATAGTTTAACGTTTTGACTTTTATTTGGGTCTTCTTCAGGGCATAAAGTGTGGTGCTATTCTTGTGGTGTCGTGTGATATTGTTTCAAATTGGGTTGGTGTCCACACCACCAATATGACACCACAAGAATAGCACCATACTTTATGCCCTGAAGATGACCTGACTAAAGGTCGAAACATCGGCAAAAACAAATGAAAAAAGGTTTTTTTTTCTAAACTACCTCATTCTTGACCGCTCCTCACGAATCCAATCAATTATTAAACAACCGGTCACCATAAAAAACACACTTTTTGTAAATGATGGTTCTACTCACAGATTTAAATATGTGAGCAGAACCATGATTTAAAAAAAGTGAAACTATAAATAAAGTACTTATTGAGAGTAAAAAAATTACAATAAAAGAATTAACATTATCTTTTATAAAAAGCGATAAGTAGCATTTTGCCATCTTGGGTTTTTGTGTGATTTTCCCAACACTGAAGATGTATAAATGCCGGAACACATATTGCAGACCAAACCAGCTAGGCAGACTAAAGTGATCAGTAATGACCAAACCATGCAGACCCCAGAGAAAAAACTCACAAATAGCATTTTGCAATAGTTGAAGTTTATTATTAGGCTTGAGGCTTTTTACCAGATCCCAAAGTTCAGTGAAAGGTCTCGTCTGTATCCTTCAGGCATAGGCTTTTCCTCACCCAGGAGTAGGAATCTCAGCTTGTATAGGCAAGTCTTAGCACCAACAGTGTACATGTTCTGCTATTTCTTCTCTATCCTGGAAATATCAGCTGCTCTAAGTCTATACATATGTCTTCGAAGTTTGCACTGTCCGGTCATCAGTCCTACTATCATTCTGGTCCTAACATGTCTTGGTTTAGTTTTTGCGATGTTCCTTTAATGAACTTTTTCATATCTGTGTCCGGGGATACAGTCCATTGAACCAAGAACTTGTTCTTAACCCACGGACCTTCATTTTTGGCAATTTGGTATGCTGCAAAAGGGTTCAGGACTGATATTTGGCTTCCTTAGCCAATTTAACAATCTCCTCGTTGCCACTGTTCGAGTACCAAAACGAGAGTAATTTTGTTGTCCGTTTGGCAAGGCCTTGATGCAATCCCAAACCTCTCTAAACTTTACTACCGATGAGGTAGTAGCCTTTAATGCTGCCTGCCTGTCCAAGCAGATTTGTCGTTGATAATACCCCCAGCCTTTTATCTCCCTGCCACAGTGTTCAACTGCACAGAAAGACAGAGACACATTTCCCAAGGCCTATATGAATTCTAGTCTTTAGTTTATTTCCAGACAAATCAGCTCTTGACCTGTAATCAGTCTTAGAACAATCTGTATAACATATATAGACATTAACTGTTATCTCTTCCTTCCTTCTACTCTATTGATTTATTTGAAATTTATGAACAAATCTTAATTTTGAGATCATGGTATCAACAGGCATTCCCAGAACCTTGTCTGCGTCTGCCTGAATTATTTCCTGAAGTTGCACCTTTTTATGTGGCTAGTGCAGCTTGTTATTGTAGCCCGTAAATTGTGGCTTTTGCCTCTCCATGGATGAAGAGATGTAGTCATTGTATGTAAGAGGCCAGTATTGGGGGCCGTTGAATCATTTTACTCATTTCTTCAGTAATCCCCAAATAAGTGTTTGCTAGTCTCTAAGATCTTGACAGTCTTCAGATGTAATTCGTTCATCCACTAAACCATCAATCTATTGGTTATCGGGTCTAACAACCGATGTAACAAGGAACATCTCTGGATTTTTTCCCAGCTTTTCCGACAAAACCACCACAAAGAAATCTCACAACCAGTATTTTGCAATAGTTTATGCTAGTCTTGAGTATTTAATAATTAAAAAATAAAAGTGAAATTAATATATTTAAACAATTTATTAGTTTTTTTGTTTTTTTATAGAACCATACTTATGACAAGTAACCAGGAAGTGACACATAATTTCTTTTTCATTTCTTTGACACATTGGACATACAAATTCTATATTTTACAGGGTAATAATTATTGATAAGTACAACTAAATACATAATAAAAATTTTCAGCAATAAATAATTCAGGTTTGATTTTTTTCTGGAATGGAAGAATCATTGGGAAGGGGTCACTCAAAATGTTTTTTTTTCTCTAATATTCCAACCATTTCTAATATGTAATAACTAAAGTTATTTTAAAGTATATAGAAAAATAAAATTAAAAATCCCCCTTTAAAATGAATTATTCTTTTGTACTATAATTACAACTGACCGGTTCAATGTATATTTTCCTTCTTCCTTATATCTGAATTTAACACAGGGGAAAGATTGATGATAACTGCTATGCCTTCCTGTCCTGTTACAAGAATAAAATGATTCCACTTCAACTTATAAGGTAATAAACAAATAAAAACTAATTTTTACCTTATGCTTGAAAGCGGTGAGAAGTACTTTTGGAGTGTTCGGTTTTAAAACTGTCACATTCTGCAACCGGGGCCTGGGTGGTTTTATGAAACCCGCCTGTATGGAAGTCACAACAAAAGGCGACTCCTGCATATAAGACTCGAAGTCATAGACCAGGCTTCTGTTGTAACTGCGGTAATACCTGCCTGCGACAACAATCACATATGTGTCTTTTAAATAAATACTTTTAAAATAAAACTATTAAATCTAAACTTACTCCTAAAATCTGTAGAGAATATAAGCAAAGTCATGACAATGCAGAAGGTGGTGATGAAGGAGCAGAAAGGAAGTGAACGTTGTATTAAAAAATAATTGGGCAACATCTTCGACGTCGTGTCAAGCTAGGAACTACAAAATCTGTACGCCCTATCCTTAGCTGTAGACTTATTAAATGGAAAGATCATTGTTTTCAATCCGTCAACAACCAAAAGCAACAGTTGGGACGAAAGTCAAAGTGACCCCACCATCACGGTTCACAGACTACAGAGTAACAGCTTCCTTCTACAGTCTACAGCATTCTGTAAGTGTGCGTCCTCGCCAAGGTTATAAGTCCCAACTTCGATGGGCAGTAGCACCCCCACCATGCCAAGCCCCCCACCACGGCTCCCCAACCCTTGCCGAAATTCTGAAGCAAAACAACTTATCAACGATGACCCAAAAGTCATTCAAAAAGACATTCTTTTAAACGATATAAGAAAATCCAATAATAAAAACCCTAACGCACTAGAAAATAAAAAAATGGAAACTATTTCTGAATTCACCTCTATAATAAATACAGTCGTCTCCGAGGAACAAATGAACACTGTTCAACAACACTAAAAACTGTAAAAGTCCAGCTACTTCAATTATCACCTCATATTTCCTTAATAACATTAACGTCTGCTGTACCATCCAAAAAAAAGAGCAATATCTCCTCAGAGGCGATTGTTTTCAACACAAAAAAAAGGAAAAATATCGATACAGTTATTGAAAAACAGACTCCCCCAGGAAAAGGAAATTATAGTGGCCAATTTAATTCTGAAATAATTTTAAAAACGAAAAAATAATCTATTAATAACAAACAATATTTTGTCAATTTGTATTATTTTCTTTGAAATTTTTTTAAATTTTACACCAAAAAACTATTGTTCAATAAAACACTTAAAACATTTCTATAAGAAATTACAAGAATAGTGGTTTAATTTTAGCAATAAATACTTTCTGCACACTTTCCTTCAATATTCATTAAATTGCTTGACTTAATTGAGGCAAAATCATTTTGTTGCCTTCTTGAAATGAACATGGATTTTAAATTGAATACCTAAAATCAATTAATTCTGAAATTTTCAACCTAAATATTTAACCAAAAATGCGAAGATTTAGTTAATGTAAAAAATAAATAATATAAATAATGATTTATTAAAATTGATTATTAATAGTTTTTTCAAATAAATTTTTCTGGTTTTGGATATCACTCAAAATTTGAAAAAATGTCGATTTAAACTGATAGGTGTGGTTGAAAAAAAAATGCATAGTAAGTATATTAGATGTGTTCAGAAAAATTTATACACGTTATTGCACAAAATATATTAATCTTAAATGTATTTTAATTACCTAATTGTTTTTAGACAAATGTGCATGATAATTTGGATCATGGTTTGCTAATGTCAAACTCAAAAGTTTGAAAAAAAAATTTGGATTATTTTGTTAGACAGGCTTTGCACATTTGAAAAAAGCGAGGGCGAGCGTAACCTTTTTACCTGGTTACACGCAAATGCTAAAAGAAGCTGTAAAGTGTAAAGCTTTATTCAAACAACAAGCAACAATGAAAATGTTTCACTTGAAAAAAGATAAAATATATTGAAAATTACCTCCAGTCATGGTGACGAAGGTGTGAGCTCAAAGAGTTTATAGAATTGTCAAAGCTGTTGAATACAAAATATGGCATTTTTATTTATTTATACGGGTAAATATACATAGTTACAAGTTCTAAAGAGTTTAAACTATATATAAGCAATATAAATAATAATATACAAACATAAAAAGCATAAATTATATTTTCTTAATCTTTTTATGTAAGGTTTTTGGTTGAAATGAAAAAGTCAGTGTCACGAGAGGGATTCGAATTAGATAAATTTCATTTTAACCAAAAACCGTACATAAAAAGATTAAGTCATTGAAAGAAATAATTTGGTCAATAGACCACTAAATATAATGGATTTAATAAATTATAATATACGTACAACAATAATTAAAAATATGGACATATTAAACATAACAAACTCAAATAAAATATTGTTAGTAATGTATCTCAATGCACTTGTGTATAATAATATAAAAGAAGTGAGAAGGAATGATAAAAATATAATTAAACAACAGAAATATATAAACAAATTAAAGGAAGCGAGATGGAATGATACTGTGCTTGAGCGCTGAGTGAGTAGTTGGGTCCTCTGTTACAATTTTTGGAGGCAATGAGATTGTTCTAATGTATCTAGTAATAACTGTTGTGTAAATAGTTTGTGTTGAGAGTGAATGTATTTATTAGTGTGTGGTGTTTAGTGACCATTAGTCAATGATTATTCGGAGATTGTGAGATGCGGTCTGCCAACGTTTCAGTCTTTATTAAGATCATCTTCAAGGCTTGGGATTTATAAACATTGTTTAAATTTTACAAATACATGTAGGATGTGAAAAATTGAATTTATACAATGCTAGAAATTTTAGATTAAAAAAATGAATTTATACAATGCTAGAAATTTTAGATAAAAAAATGAATTTATACAATGCTAGAAATTTTAGATTAAAAAAATTGAATTTATACAATGCTAGAAAATTTAGATAAAAAAATGAATTTATACAATGCTAGAAAAGTTTAGATGCCAAAAATTGAATTGATACAGGTCAGAAAGTGGTCAGTCGATTATATTATTTAAGAGTTTGTAAGAAAATATCAGGACATTATTTTGTCGTCTTATGTTTAGTGGTTGCAGTTCTGAGGATTCCATAATAAGTTTGGATGGTGTATCCAAGTATGTTCTAGTAATTTTAAACCAGAGAGTGTGAATAAATCATAGCTGTACATTTTCTATTAAATTACTTATTATTTTCTGATGTGAACAAAAAACAACCCCTCCCTCCAAAAAAAAAAGAAAAAAGACCATTTTTCTATCAGATTTACCAATCATTTTTTTATAGAGACATTATTAATTTTTGTTCTTATTTTCTTTTTTTTACCGAATCAAGTTGAAAATTAATTTTAACCCAACTCAACCTTAATTTATCTAGGATTCACTTTATTTTTATTATTATCAGTCAATACTTGCTTCAAAAACAATTTTATGCAGGGCTAATGTTTTCTTTGATAATGGAAAAAGTAAATATAAAACTAAAACCATTTACCTTCTTGGTCAAGATTTAAAAGAAATATAAAAAGAGAAAAGAAGGGAAATAAAGAAAAAATTGATTACCAAAATTATTATTATTATTAAATATTAATCCATTTTACGTTTTTAGTGGTTAATTGACCAAGTTACTTCTTTCAATTACTTACTATTTCTATGTAAGGTCTAATTAATTATTTTTTACTTGAAAAAATATTAAATTTACAATGAATAGTCTCTGTAAAAGACGAAACTGAAAGTAAAACTGTAAGTTACCACCTTTCTGAAGATCTTTTTAATCTTGCGTATTTATGCAGAGAATTTCTCTGGTCATGACTTAAGATCAACCGGGCGGACCCTTTCACCCAAAAGTTAAAAACCATAAAATAATTTAAGGCATTTGTATCAATCAATAAATACAAATTTATTTTTAAAATTTTAATACAAAACAAGGGGATAAAGTTATAATTATCCGCGCTGTGTTGATCATCAGCATTTTGCCATCTTCAGTGTTGGATCTGTAAATAACCACTGAAGATGGCAAAATGCTGACATGTGCATGAAAGACCAATATAACAAGGATAAACAGACTAGGACGGTCGATAATGTCCAAATTACAGATTCATCACTGTACTGACCACACAGAGAAATTTCACAATATAAGACGATGAAAGTAATTAGTACAAAATATTGCTCAAATTGAACTTGAACCGCCCAACAAAAATTAGAATATCAAAAAAGTTGACATTTTCGAAATGTTACAACAGGGTTCATAAAATTATACTTCTTGTCTTAATTGTAATTCTCTAATTTCTGTCCAACAGCTACACTAGTATACACTAGTTTTTTCAACTTATTTTCAAATAGAATTCCAAGGCTATGAAAATATTTTACGTTCAGTAATTGGTTTGAAATATCTCTCAAATTGAACAGGAGTAATGTTTCAAAGAAAAAATCATTTATAAGAGCACAAAGTAAAACAGTCATGTTTTCAAAAGATCTTAAATAAGTACAGTTCAATTGCTAACAAACACTGATTTTCCAATTCTTTATTCACTGGTTATTTTTTATTTTCAAGTTATTCTAATTATTTAATTACCAAAACATTTGGAATTTAAGTGTAGGTTAAGGACTAGAATTCATATATGTTTCATGCAATATTCCGCTATCTTTAAGTCAAAGACCTCATTGGTAATAAAGTCTAGAGTTGTTTGGGATTCCATCAAGGCTCTGTTGGACATTGGAGACAACAAAAAATTACCCTTGTTGAACCACCACAGGGGTCACTTACTGGGATTGTCTCCACTCATGGGTTTTTGAGTTATTCAAATGCGTTTCGGCATTGTGCCATATTCAGTGAAGAACTCAAGAAGAAGAAGAAGAATTAAGTAAGTCTTCGGTTCAATGGGCCTGTATCCCAGGACTGAGTCATGGAAAAAAGTTCATCAAAGGACCATCACAGAAACTAATGGCAAAAATACTAAACCTATGATGTACCATGTCTAGAAAAATAGTAGGACTGTTATCTGGACACTGCACACACCAATGACTCGGAGAAGAAGAAACAAACATGCAGATATTGCCAGAAAGAAGAAGAAACAGTGGAGCACGCCCTCTGTTGGTACGAAGGCAAATGCAGGCTGAAATTCCTATTCGTGGTAAAGGAAAAACCAAGGCTTGAAGGATACGAGACCCTTTATTGAACTTAGGGATCTGGTAAAACAGCTTAAGCTTAATGAAATGCTCTACGCAATGGAGATAGCACAATAGACCAACATTGGTCACACTTTAACCATTGTTTATTTAATAATTATTTTTGTTGCTGAAATTGCATAACTGTAAGGGACACTCATATTTTCCTGAAATTATGAGAACTAAAGGGGGAGGAAAGTAAGTCTCCTTGATTATGAAGGAAACTGTGTAACATTGTACATAGAATTGGTCAAATTGAATAATGATTTGTATAAAATCCATTTGAATTCACTCTTAACTTTTCTATTAAGCCGGAAACTTTAACCTATGTGTTTATGCACACCTAACATATAAAAACAATTTGGAGGAATTCATCCCAAGTGACATTTTGCTGCGCTGGATTATTAATTACTTGCTGGTTTCTTCTCATGCTACTTCAGTCCTGAATTAACATCTAACTTACTTTGATTATCTAATATTTCATGACTGAAATTAGATATAATCACCCAGACACTTTTCTGAAAACAGTATAAGAAGTAAAGAAATGGTAAAAAGGACACAATTTCCTATCATTTCAACTTGAAACTGCCACTAACTTTTTTAATATTTTTTTAATGTATGTATGTAATTTTTTATGCAGGGTATGTAAAACTGAAGTTGAACCTTTCTTGCCAAATAAAAGGAAGAACAAAGTAATCTTCTAGGTACAAATAATCATTTTAATAAATATGGACATTGTGAATTTAATTATTCACAATTAAGTATTTAATCCTGTTGAGTGAAAAGACTGCACAATTTATTTCTACTTCCTCGTACCCATCAATATTTATTCCTCATGTGCCTGTCACTTATGGTACAATTCTAAAAAAAAGTTAGAAGTTAAAAATTGGTTGTTGAGTGGTTAAGGTATCTGGCTCAAATTTGCCGCACTATAAGTTCTGAATTCAAATTCCATCATAGTTCATGATGATTTTTAATTGAGCATAATATGAAAAAAATATAGATTTGTTCTAATCCCTCTTCTGTGTCACCCAACAGGTTAAGCCCACCTGTATGACAGGAATTACTTTACTTTACTTACTAATTATGCTGGAAGATTCTTGTTCAATTTAGAATGGATAAAAACAGGGATGAAAGGACGGCCTGGATAAAAACAAGTTGTTTAAAGGCTTAGAAAATGGTCCTTTGACTTTCTTTTAACTTTTTCATCCCCCACCCTTTCATCCCTTTTTATAATTTTAAAATTAAATTTCATTATACATGTTCTTTGTAGAGTCAAAGAATTTAATCTTTTAGTATCATGATCAAGATTTCACCGGTCTTGCAACTTTGATGGAACAAAGGGTTACATCGCTTTTATTATGAATTTTAATTTTTACCTTCATGTTTATTTATATTTTTTCTATTGTATATAGTTATCTTCTACATACATAAAAGTTTACTAGTACTCAATGATACTAGTAACAGTTTTAATCTATTCAAGATTATAAAGTAACTTTATATAAATATCTTTAACAGTTTTATTATGGTGCAGTTCTTAATTTATCAAATCTATATTTTCTTTTAAAATGATTGTAATAAGGGTTTGCAAGGAGACAATTGCGGTTTATGTTAATAGCAGAAAAAAAACATAAATTACTGAAACACAGTTATTTTATTACAATATTACAAGGCACATTATAAATTTACTCTAGTTTATTTTTTATTTTAGTTCTGGTTGAAGAGAAAAGGGGCAAGGATTATTTATTTATTGACGGTTGAAATAATAAACAACGGATTGTAAAATTTTGTTCAGAGATATAGTTTATGTCATGAGGTGGCAAAATATCACCCAAAAAGATCACTAACTTGCCAAAAAGGTGTCTTGGCAATAAAAATAACAAGATATGTATAAGATTTTCTAAAACAATTAAATTTGTTCCATGTCGAATTATCTACACATGATATGTATATTATATTTACAATTCGCTAATTTTAACTTTTATGGTAGAACGAATTTAAAAAAATTATTATTTGAGCATTTAAGCAAATGCTAAAAATTAAATGCACGTTGTTTCTGTTTAAAATAATCGATTGGAATGAATATTCTATTTGTTCACATTCGCATAATGATTTGATAGACATTTGCTTTTTTTAAATTTATATTTATAACAATTCTTTTATACTTTCAGACAATCAGTTAATAAAAAAATAATCACAGGATACTTTTTTTATATATTTGCCTGATTAAGCATTGAAAGAATAAATTAAGTATGATATGAATAATCCACAATATGTGCTGTTTATAATTCAATCACAGCCATTGATACATATTATATATTTTTTAATATTATTAACCTATACATAAAGTAACTTAATTGAAGCATAGTTTATGGGAATGTCAACATTGCTGGACTTTGTTTTTGTATACAACTAGATAATTCATTTGTCAACTTTTGTACTATGCAAGATAAAGAAGATACAATTTAAAAATGCTGCCTTCATTTTGATATGCACAATGGACCTTGAGAAGTTTTTTTCTTTAAATTCCACGTTTTAAACTCCACTTAAAACAACTTATGGCACTGGCGAATCAGTAGTTCTATGTTTACTACCTCAATCCGGCACTAGCAGCTTTGGAAGCGTTGTAGTTCTCAAACTTCCATCGCAGATGGATCAGTTCTGAGTTGCAGTCTTCCATTGTAACTTTCTGTTTGTTGCTTGAAATACCCATGCATTTTTTGGAACTTCCGTGTTGGATGAGATTTGTCTAAAACAGAATTTTCGTGTTAGTTAAATCAAATGTAAGTTATGCTAGGATTTTTTTTTGAAAATTACATCTGGGTTGTAGCTCCACAACTGATTTCCTTTCAGACCGTGGCAAGGGTAGAGGATGACATCACCGCCAGAATAATCAAGGCAAGCCTCATCTCGTCTAATCTCTCCTGTTTTGCTCAAGAGCCAGTACTGTTATTGAAAAAAATACTAAATTAAATACAATTCATTACGAATTAATTAATAGAGCCTGAACAATTTCTTTCCACTTTGGTGATCAATGCTTTTTAAAAAGCACTAAAAACAACAAAAAAGAATATTTAGATTTTACTTCACTGTATATAAGTATTATATACAATTATTAAAACAGCGGGGAAGCAAATTTAAATATTCTTTAGTTTTTTATTTTATCTGTATTACTATTAACTACATTATAATTTATTTATTTTCAGTTTGTGGTCATCTGTGTCCTGTGGCTATTGTTGCTAAGCCAAGAGGAAAGTTAAAAAATATTAAATACAAAATGCTAAATTTTTTAGCATGCTGTACTCAATTAAGCACAGAAAATTGCTTGTAGCAAAACAGAAAGTTGCTCTGTTAGATAAATGTTAGAATAATCGTGATAAATATTAATTGAAGTGCTAGAAAAGGAGGAAAAGGTGAAGCAACAATTATTACTGCTTCAGTCATTAGTGACTATCATAGACAATTTTGTTTGCCTTTTGGAATTATAACAATATTATTATTTTAGAGGAAAAGCATGTCACTAAAATAAAATTTCTATTGAACAATAATTTGGCAATTGAAAAGTCGTTCTTGCTTGTCTTTTGAAATTATAACAATATTAATATTTTAGAGGAAAAGCATGTCACTAAAATAAAATTTCTATTGAACAATACTCGGGCAGTTGGAAAGACGTTCTAACTTCTCAGAAAATTGTGTAATATTAGTAAACAGCACAGTGGGCAATAGCAACAAATTTTTGATAATTTATTAATTAATAGAAATTTATCAGTTTCGTGTCTTCAGTGTCAACAGCCTGGGAGCAGAAACCCTGCTTCTTAGTATCCATCATCATCAGTGTCAACGGTACAATAATATGTTAATATCAATTCACCAAAAAAGCCCATAAAATAAAGCAAAAGTTGAATTAATTTATGTAATAAATAAAGACATTATGCTTTTGAACATATATGTACAGTACAAATATTAAATAAAAGGAAACTTGAGAAACACACAACCTGCACCAACTTAAAATAAAAATAACACATGACAATTTTACATGAGGCAAAAGTCATGATCTAACACCTTTTTCGTGATCACATACTTTTTTTAAGCTGAAGGCTAGTGCAACAGACTTCATGCAAACTTTTGGCATTCACAAACCACCTGAAAAGCTCTAATAATAAAGAAAATAAATGTTTCAACTGCATAGGCAGTAAATTTATCTGCACATTTTATCCAGTGTATTTCAATTAGTGCATTGTGTATAATTTTTTTAAAGTATTAGATAAACATTTGAAGGAAATTTTTTTTTGTCATTTGGTAATTTCGTTGACAAATAGCGAATACACCATTAAAAAAAAAATTGTTAAATTAAAATATCCTGTTTATTAAAATTGACAATAAACTTTGATAAATATTTAAAAAAAAATATGTTTGTTAAAAATGTTAGGTTATCTGCCAATTTGTAAGCAATTGGAATATGTTTTTACTTATATTATCAACTTTGCTAGTTGATTCAAATTTGAAAAAAATTTTGCCTTCAATTGATGGCATATAAAGTAATGATTATTTTTAGTTGTTCTCTTTCTAAAATGTAAATGTTTGTCTGTTGGATGTTGATCATTATTCTTGTCTTTTTAGTCTACCTGGTTGCCTCCTTGTTTGTGGCATGGCCAAAGTCCAATTGGTTTGTGCAGGTCTTCCGGTTTGCATGAAGAGTCGATACACTGTCTGTATGCTTCGTTCCTTATCTGGCAGACAATATTGGAAAATTATTAAAATGTATTAAATTTTATAATTATGTTCCCTATATGGCCTATAAAATTGTGATTAGAAATTTTCAAATGCGCACTCCAAAATTAGTAAAACTAAACACAACATAATCAGGTCATTTTTCGCTATGAAGGAGGAGTTTCTCAAATTTCCTTTTACTTCTCGATCAAGCAACTTCGAAGATAATTTAATTATCAGTTTACTTGATCGGTGAAGTGTTTATAAATGAAAATAGACCTGATTTCCTCCCATCATATGACAAGGGTAAAGACCAACAGCTTTGTGCATGTTTGCCTTTTTTGCAGGCGAATCCAGGCATGTGCCTCTTCCGTACCCAAGATTCCTTACCTTAATAAAAAATATTAATTTTAATATACACAAAATTTAGAAAAAAATATATACAGTAGAATAAAAAAATAAATACAAAATAAATCTCATTGATTGAAGATGGTTCATTAAAGATATAAAATTGTAATGTCAATTAATAAAATAAGTATCTTTAAAAGCATAATAATTACCTCTCCTGATGCTACTGAGTCACCAGGAATGAATAGTTCAGGGAATACGTTGTCTAGGTACCATTTGAATGATTTACAACCGAGTCTTTTTCTCAATTGTTTCCTAGGTTCTACATCTCCAAAGTCACCCTGCAGTGATAAATAATTAGAATTATGATTTTAAATTAATTATTTCATAACTTACCAGATCGTTTCCGACCCTTTGGTAGTAATATTTTGCAAATTCGTCCATCCAGACTTCAGCCAGTCTTACGGAGTTCCTCTTGAGGACGTTAACGCCCGACTTCCACTTATAGGGAGACCTTTTCCTAAATATATGACCGACGTGTGAGCAAGGAACGATTTCTAATGTACCTCCACACATCCAAGTCTGAAAAATATGATTAAAAACGATTATTAAAAGAAGTGGTAGGCGCACATTTTTAAGGAAAATTAATTTGGTAACATTTTTATACGGTTTTACATAAAAATATTACTTTGAATGATAATTCCAAATTTTCACCGCCCCAGATGTCAAAACCACTGTCGTATGTACCAAGTTTCTCAAAGAACTTTGAGCTTATTGAAAAAAGACCTCCAGCCATAGTTGGACTGTGAATAGGTTCTGCTGGATTAGTGTGTCTCTGTTTTTCTCTTTCTGGTACTGCATGCCAGTTAAACTGGAACAAACATTCAATTTTTTATTAACATTATGATATAAATATCGATTTAAAAATACCTGCAGATTCCAGTCAAAGCCACCGACATTGACCCCTCCGGAGTCTCTCCAGTGGTATTCCATGGTCTTATCATCAATGACATCTATGACAGGGCATACAACTGTTGTTCCATCTCGATATATTCTGTCTAGTAAAGGTTCCAGCCAACCCTTTGCACATTCACAGTGCGAATCCAAGTAAGTGAGAACCGGTGCTTTGGCATGTTTTGCACCGAGGAGTCTAGCCCTTATCAGTCCTTCTCTTTTAGTCGCTCTGACTATTTGAACTTTAGGGTACATCGCCATGTACTCATCAAGCTGACGCTTCAAATGTGCTAAAGTCAAACAAAATATTTTTTTGGGGTTGTAGCAAAATACAATTATACATAAATTATCTTTGACATACGCATATCGGAATAATCATCAACCAAAATAATCTCCTTAATTAGATGGGGCGGAGAACGGTCAATAACCGAATGGACTGTCCTGAGTAACACAGACCAGGCCTCGTTATGGAAACAAATAATGACAGAAGTCGGAGGAAGGTCTGTTGCATATTTCTGTGATAGACACCATGGATCTCTCGGATCTGGAAGTGTCCTAGAAAACAATATTATTTTGATAATTGTGCACTAGAATGATGTAATATATTCATCTACCTGTGAACAGATATTAAATCAGATATATATTGATTAAAGGCATTCTTTTGCCACCCTTCATCGACTAGTTTCTTTACTTCTTGGGTTATATTGGATGGAAGTATCACAGGTTTTCCTAAAGAAATTAAAAAAAATAAATTAGATCTATCTCAATTGAGCAATTTTATTGGTTAATATTTCAAAGCTTGCTATAGTCTAGTTTAAATTCAGTCATAAAATTAATATAAACTACAGAACCAGTATCAAATGCATACATTTGTTAATTCTTTAATGAAAAAATATTTTGACAATTACATCCTACTTGAATTTTGGCTTGTTTACATATAAATACTACTGATAGGATTTTAATCTTTTTATCAAATCATTTGTATACTTTGGCTGTTAGTTTTGATCAAAACTGATACACTTGACGCACACTGATACACTTGATAATTCAAGTACTCGTTCTGAAGGTGGAAATACAAATAGCCACCTGTTTAAATGTACTCTGGAAGTTTTTCTTCTATTCTGTATTAGCCAGAAACAACTCAGAATTAATTTCGATTATTCGGTTTTGCAATGATTTTCTATTTAATAATACCACCAGATATGTATAAATCTGGTGAAAAGTGCGAATGAAAGGGTGGTTGTACAGAAGCTAATTGTTTTATTGCCAATATTTCACTGGCTATGTTTTATGTCACCAACACCATGATACAATTTTTGAAAGCTTGGCAATAAAAAAATTTGCTTCTGTTGAGCCATCCTTTGGTTATAGCTAATAATTGTGTAACAAATATCATGTGTCACCTAACTTATTATTTACATATTACATGGCATCAGGTAGTGAAAATACAAAAAATCGTGAATTTTTCCATTTTTATCTGTTTTAAAATAATATCATTATTTTGGTTGGATGGATGATTTTTATTTTTTGTGAAATGTACCAGAATTTTTTTAAAATCTAAGATAGTGAAAGATACTCTCATCTTTTCTTTTATTTTGGTCAAGTTTATTGTGAATTTCCTTGGTTTAAAGTTGAAAATAAGAAGAAAAACTTTTTGGCAGGAGACAAAAAATTTAAATTATTTGGTAAAAAATTTAGCTGACTAATTTGTGTATGTGCTTAACTGAAGCTTTACTTTTTACTACTTTTTACAATAGTGGAAGTTAATAGTCAGGTGAAATGTACACACAATGTAGATTCAAATTTAACAATATAATTTAAAAAAATAATTAGCGTCATGTCACTAGGACTTTACGTACCCATTTCTCCATAGAGCTCGAGGGATGATTTGACGGAGTAGACAGGCTGTGAGGCGGGTGGTGGGGGCGCATGCTGTGTGGTCGGCTCGCTCGTCCAAGGCGGCCTCATGTCGGAGAGGAGGAGGAGCGCCGTCAGGAACCATCCGACGAAGAGGACGAACACCAACTTCCACAGTGTCGACCTCCTCCTGACTCCTAGCATCGTCCCTACCCCAGATTTACCCTGGAATGAGACAAATCGTTATTGGCTGGGAGACAATTTGGTCGAACTTTTAGACTAATTTGACTTATTTTCACCATTGTATAGTCATTGTAAAGTTCAATGAAAACTTTTCATGTGAAAAGAAGCCTATCAAACCATTCAAAGCTTCTCGTTGGGAAACAACTGAAAGCTCATGTAGACAAAACGATACCAGGCTATTATGCCATTATTGATGGCTGTTATTGACAGAACCATCATGACAATGGGGAAATAGACTGAGCTAATGCAAAATGCATTAGGCATTGTTGAACATCGGCATGGAACACAGCGAAACAATCAGATCTCGACTTGCAGTTAAGAAACAGATTTGAGGAAAATTTTGCTAGGAGAATGAGCAGATATTAGTTAAAAAGAGAGCATGAATAGTTTTCAGTTGAAAATGCTTCAAGAGAGTAGTGAATTTTCTTAATTTCATAAATTCCGACTTTTTGAACCATTTCGAAATGGATTTGACCAGAAAATTTTATTCATACTTGGATAAATGATAGGTGTGGTCTTTCATACTTGTCCTAAGCTTAACTGAAGATATTTGTTCTAGTTTCTTAGTTTTATTGGCCTCTAACCTCCTGTTATAGTTACAAATAAGAAAACTAGTCTGGACTACTGAAATTCATTATGGGACCAAAGTCATATATATAAAAATCGATACATTTTAAAAAGGCGATATTGGAGGATGGAGTTTGCATGTGCCGATCATTAGAGAGTCCTATTAGAATACAAAGAAGTGGGAATGAACCTTGGCTGGAGGTCTACTGGGTGATGTACCTGTTCATTTTTTTCGTTTCCGATCATTTTTGTCCGCCTATTCTCGCTGTCTTGGTCTGTCAGACAACGTCTGAAATTGTCGGTCTCTGTGTTATTTTTCCAATGTGGAATAACCGTTTTTCGAATTTTGACAGACCAGAATAATTGTAAAGAACAAACTCAAATTATTATGTTGCACGGCCAAACTTTTGTGATGTAATGTAAATCGAAACTAGCAGTAATGCCTGTTCAACGTGACTATTATATTCATCAGGTCATTCACTTCTGGCTGGATTCTGTTTGAATAGATCATCCATGTTTATGTACTATTTTGGAATGAGGCCAGAGTTTGGTTAATTGGAGTAGAAAAAAGTCGATGATCAATCAGAATGAAAAATCGACAAATACTCTAAACAAAAGCGACAGGATTCCTATTAAAAACCAATGTGGATTGGTTTTTCGATTATACTCCAAACAGAAAGTACGGTTTATTTTATCTATTTCATACCTTGCCTAAGTTCATCGCATATTTCATAAAATTGAGATTTTCTCAAGGAAAGGAAAAAACAGAAGAAATATTTTTTTATAACACTTTTTTTCTTTTTGGTATGGGTTATGGCCTATGAAGATAATCTGTTTTCCGATGAGAACATTTGTCTTCCGGGACGTTTTCCTTCAGTATGAAGCAGGCGGTTTCTTGCGCTTTTCAACCTTTATAAATGATATTTATGTCAAACCAAACTTTGACAAAGGACGGGATGTTTGAGTACCTCCGGCGAAAGTTCCAATTCGAGTGGGTCCCTATATTTAAGAAGGGCCCCCACAACTTTTAATGACCTTCTGGATAATAGAGAAGGTTGAAGCGTAACAAATTAAAATCAAGCGACTCTTAGATATTTTCTCTTTTCTAGTTACACTAGTTTTTCTCTTGTTTTGTAGAATCTTGAAAGAGAGACCTTAATCAAAATATTATCATTAGCAGAAAGCTGGATCCTTGGCTTAATACAAATGACAGCACGGAAATAAAAAGCTTAAAAGCAATTGTCGGCTACGAGACGTGACAGGTTCAATAACCATTGTAAAAACCGTTAATCAATCGAGAATTACAAATTACAGCTCAATTGAATAATGGGTTAGCAACCATGTGTCTATGTCTATTGAGCGGCAAATGTAGTATGGGCATCAGCCCACAAAAACGGCCCGTGCAAATCACGAAAACACTCGATTCAAGGACAGATGTAAAAAAAGATGTATAACTCTATTATAAATGTAGATATATTGACGAAAGTCAAAGTAAATATTTCGAAAATGTTCGAAAGGATTTGGAAAATGTTCATGTTTGGTTTGGAAAAAGTTTAGTTCAATTTGGGTGGGGAAAAGGAAGGTAAGATTTGAAAAAGTATACATATACTTCGGATAAAGTTCGATTGGATTTGAAAAAAGTTCAGTTAGATTTGGAACAAGTTCTCTCTCTCAAAATAAGATCTCTCTCTCAAAATAAGATTTAACAGGACATTTGGTTTGAAAATTGAAATAATTGAAAAAAGATAAATAAAAATTGGTGTGCAAAAGTTCAATAAGACTTAAAAAAAGTGCGTTCGCTTTGGAAAAAATTTAGTTCAGAAAGACGTGAAAATATATACCTTTGGTTTGAAAAAGCATAGTTCAATTTGGGTTAGAAAAAGTTCAGTAAGATTTGATAAAAAGTACATTTGGTTTGGAAAAAGTAGTTCATTTTGGGTTGGAACAAGTCTATAATATTAAAAAATATATACGCTTTGCAAAAAGTTCAGCAAGAATTAGAAAAAGTTCAGTAAGATTTGATAAAAAGTCCATTTGGTTTGGAAAAAGTATAGTTCATTTTGGGTTGGAAAAAGTCTATAATTAATTAAGGTTTTTAGTTGAGATGAAAAAAAGTTAATGGCACGAGAGGGATTCGAACCCACGACCTTCGGCTAGATACGCCGCTGCTCTACCACCTGAGCTATCGTGACCTCGATCCACTCGGACATCAACTCCCCATCTCAACGCCACCTTATGAGCTTTCCCTCCTTTTGCCATTTTTCAAATGTCGTGTAATCGGTTTCGATTCTCGACGACAATTGAAATGGCGACGGAGAGCTTTAGTGAAGTGTAATAAGATTAAAAAAATTCAAAAGTTTTTGAAAAAGTAAATGAAGTCTGGGTTTGAAAAAGTTCAATAGGACATAACATTTGGTTTGGAAAGTTTAATAAGATTTGAAAAAAGTACATTTGCTTTGGGAGAAGTTGGTTGGAAACCATAAAAACGAAAAAATGGTGTACTGTTCCGTAGGTTAAAAAATATACGTCTTGTCAAAAGAATAACCGTCATATCAATGAATACAATAAAAGTAATATGTAAAGAATTTTAGATGACTATGATGGTAATATAATATTATCTTTATGGCCACGAAGAAAATAATTATAAAAGATAAGATCTTGTTTCCGTGTCAAGTTTGAACTATTATAACAATAATCTTTCAAATGGATTTGCTGAACCAGTTGGAGACATTTCCGGAGACCGGCTACGCAAATCAATGAAATTAAAGACGACCATGAAAGGTGTTCTTTCGCATAACACTTCTGATCCTCTTCACAGGGGCTTCAGCTCTTGAGCCGGGACTGATGAAGAAAATGTTAGTTTCTTTTCCTAGCACCTATCCAGTATCAACCATCTCCACCCTCTACAGAAGAATGAGATCAAATCAGATTTGAATACCCCTTTCTCTCTTTCTCTCTCTCTCAAAGCCTTTTCACCTTCCGACATTAAACACGCAATCATCTCCCCCTCAAAAAGAGTCTTGGATTTGATTTGATTACTTGCCAAATCTTGTGTTAACTGCCAAGAAAAGCCCTAGTTTTTCTTACTTACATTTTTTTCACCTAGTTTTTCTTTACTTACATTGTCCACCCAAAAATCATATCGATCAACCAAATTGTGTCCTAAAGTGCTAAAGTCTAGACTATTATTTGAGCTTAAAAGTATGTAAATTACTCTTTTTACCTCATCTAAATTACCTATTTCGAAAAGCTTTCCATACCGGAAGTGGAATAACAAAAGACATGAAGTAACACATATTGACAAATCGCGGCAATTTTTTTTCCAGGTAGAGAATACAAATTTCGGCGATAAGGCACAAGCGTGTTTTAATGTACGAAAAGAAGTATCCTGAGTTTTCGTGGAAAAAGTTACGATAAATCATAATGCACGCGTGGTCAATCACAGGTGACAGACTCACCTAAGAAATTAAGATGTGTTCTTATCACCGTGTCGAATTTACCCGTGAAGGATGCAAAAACCGGTTTAATTATATGCAAAGGATTTGTGTAAATTTATTGAAAGTACATTTGGTTTCGAAAAAGTTTAGTTTGATTTGAACAAAGTTCAATATGATAAAAAAATTACATTTGGTTTATAAAAGGTTATATACGATTGAAAAAAAATTATGTTCAATAAGAAATTTTTTTTTTCAATTAAAGCTGAACTTTTTCAATTCATATTACACTTTTTTCAAAATAAATTAAACTTTTCAAATAAACTGAACTTTTCCGAACCAAATGTCTTTTTCAGATCATATTGATTTTTTTAAAACAAATTTTTTTCAAAGCAAATGTGTTAAAAAAAATCTAATTGCAATTTTTACAAATTAAACTGAACTTCTTGTTTTCAAATCGTATTGAGTTTTTTCAAACTGAATATATTTTCTTAAAAAGCCTATTGAACTTTTACATACTGAATTTAACGTTTTCAAAGTAAATAGTTTTAAATTCACTAATTTCGTCGTCCGCTTGACCAATTAATATATCACAATTAATTAAGGTTTTTTAGTTGAGAAAAAAAAGTCAATGGCATGAGCGGGATTCGAACCCACGATCTTCGGCTAGATACGCCGCTGCTCTACCACTTAAGTTATCGTGACCTCCATCCACTCGGACACCAACTTCCCATCTCAACCCCACTTTTGGATTTTCCCTCCTTTTTTGCCATTTTTCAAATGTCGTGTAATCGGATTGGATTCTCGACGACAAATGAAACGGCCACGGAGAGCTTTAGTGAAGTATACTTCATTTTTAAATCATTAAATTCACTAATTTCGTGGTCCGCTGGACCAATTAATATATCAAAATTGATTAAGGTTTTTTAGTTGAGATAAAAAAGTCAATGGCATGTGCGGGATTCGAAAATTCAAAAGGTG